TTGGTGGCTGGACATGGCTACAGAAAGAGACTTGTTCGTTTTAGAAATGTAAGTACTGAATTGGAGGTGCTGACACCTAACTCCTTGCGTCTCCATCGCCCAGCACTCCCAAGCACTAAGTGATAACTTCCTGAACTGTGAAAGGAATTGTGTTACCAAACTTTACTCTCTTCTTTTAAAGTCTGGACATCTTCAAGGGATTATTATAGTTGAAAAAACACAGACAAGTGACCAGTACTTCCCAGCAGCCCAGAAGTTTGCTGTGCTGGACCTTGGGATGGTGTTGCTTCCAGTAGCCAACCAGTCGGAAGCAGCCTGCCTCATCATCCAGCTGGTAAGTACCAAGTTCCTCCTTTACAGTGTCCTGTCCCGAAGGGTCTCAGTTTGCCTCAGACCCTTACTTACCAAAGCTGCCTTTTTTACCGTGGTGGTGGCTTCTCAAAATAGTATTTTTCCCCCCACAAGACGGGGTTACTCTGTGTAGCCCTGGCTGTTCTGGAACTCACTCTGTAGACCAGGCTGGCCTCGAACTCACAGAGCTCCTCCTGCCTCTGCCTCTGCCTCTGTAGTGCCAGGGTTAAAGGTGTGTGATGCCACACCCAGCTTCAAAATAATTTTTGACACAAGTTCCGCATAGCTGAGATCACAGGTGTAAATGGCCACCCTGGGTTTTAGGCAGTGCTGACAGCTGAGCCCACGGCTTTCCTGTGTGCAAGGCAAATGCTCTACCAACCAAGCGACACCACCATCTCCTGTCTTGAAACCTTTTGCTTTTGACTTTTGCAAGTGTATAGCAAAGGGAACAAGTTGGAGGTCTGGTTTTGGGCTCCAGGCTGCCCTCATTGTCACCCTGCATTTGTCCTGGGAAAAATGATGAAAACAGCACCTGGAGCACCTGGCAGAGCCTTTGCCTCATTCTCTCATGCCATTGTTTAAGTATCAGTATTTCTTGCTTTGTCTTTTTGTTTGGTTTTGTGTGTCGGTCACATGCATGCCGCCCCCCAAATAATGTAAACTAGTATTTCCCACCCATGACAAACCCCAGTAAAAACTCACAGAAGTCACACAGATGTGGGAGCAGGGATGAAGAAAATGTGATGGAGGAGTGATGAGTGAAGGGTGATGAGAGAGGAGGAATGAGGGAGGAGGAATGATGGAGTAGGGATGAGAGAGGAGAGATGAGGGAGGAGTGATGAGGGAGTAGAAATTGGGTGGAGGCAAGAGGGATGAGGGGTGATAGAGGAGGGAGGAGGGATGATGGAGGAGGGATAAGGGGTGAGGGATGAGCGAGGAGAGATAAGGGAGGAAGGATGAGTAAAAATTGATAAGGGTGGAGGAATGAGGGAGGAGCAATGAGGGAAGAATGATAAGGCAGGAGAGATGAGGGAGGAGGGATGATGGATTAAGGAGTCTAGATGAGGGATGAGGAAGGAGGCATGACGGAGAAGGGAGAAGTGAGGAGGTATAGTGGAGGAGAGATGAGGGAGTGATGAGATAGGAGGGATGAGGTTGGAGGAATATTGAAGTTGGGATGAGGGAGGAGGGAAAATGCAGAAGGGATGAGGGAGTATGGTTGTATGAGGAGTATGGTTGAGAGATGAGGGAGAGAGGAGAAAGAATAAATTAGAATTGTGAAGGACGGAGAGATCACAAAGGAGAGATGAGGGAGGAGGGATGATGGATTAAGGAGTCTAGATGAGGGATGAGGAAGGAGGGAGAATGTAGGAGAGATCGGGAAGAAGGGATGAGGGACAAGGGAAGAGGAATGAGTAAGTAGAGGACGGAAAAGAGAAGCGGTAGGATGGGTGAGGGTGGATGGATGAGGGATGAGGGTGTAGAGATGAGGGAGAAGGGATGATGGAAGAGAGATGAAATAGGAGGATTGGAGGAAGAAGGATTATGGAGAATGCATGACGTAGGAGGGAACATTCTGGAGGGATGGGGAGGAAGGAGGAAGCAAGATGAGGGAGGAGGGAAGAAGAATGAGGAGTGAGGAAGGATCATTGAGGGAGCAGAGAGGAGGGAGGATGGTGGGGGGGAGTAAGGAAAAGAGAGGAGGGAAGTGGGAGGATGGATGAGGCAGGGGGGAAGAGAGACCATGGAGGATAAATAAGTAAATTAATTAAAATAGTGTCAGGAGGCAGGTTCGTGGAGCAGCTACAATTCCAGCCCTCAGGAGCAGGAGGAATGTAACGTTGAGGCTATCCTGGGCTATATAGTAAGACTCCATCTCAGAAAAAAAAAAAAAGTGATAGGATCAGAGTATCTCTAAGGCAGAGGTAGACCACCTGAGGCTGAGTTCAGTTCCTAGCTTGGGGAAAGAAGAAAGAAAGTCATACATGAGGCTTAGCTCTGACGAGGAAAGGGCCTGAGTGGTTTTGGTTATGTAAGTTATTGTGTCATTAGGGGTTTTATTTTTATTTATTTATTCTCGTGTGTGTGCTATATGTACATTGTTTAGTATGCTTGCAGAGGTCAGAGGGCAGCTTTGTGGGGTCGGGAGTCTCCTTCCCCCTTTGCCTGGATTGCAGGGATCAAACTCAGGCCAGCAGGTTTGTTGCAGCAAGCGCCTTTTCCTGCTGAGCCGCACCACAGGCCCCTGGGTTCCTGTCGTTAAGCGGATGAGCATCTAGGGCTGAGAACCAATTGGAAATGCCAGCAGGCCCGTGGCTTCCAGCCTCCTCTCCATCCCCTCCTGTGTTCTCCTTCTCCTGTCTGTGAGAGAATGTTCTTGTCTGCCCATTGTAACAGCCAGTTACAGCTGAGGAGACCATCCCCCCCCCGCCCCCGCCTCCTCCCCCCGCCCCCCCGTTGGGAGCCTGCTGGGGTTCTAGCAGGGTCATGGAATTCACTCTTGACTGCAGAATGATGTCTGTGGAGACATTTGTCCTCTTCAGCCAAGTGTGCTTTGAAGGATGGAACGGCAGGTGGCACCAACTGATTGTCTTCACATCCTAGTTTGTGTTTGAGACAGGGTCTCACTGTGTAGTCCTAGCTGGCCTAGAGCTCACAATGTGGACCAGGCTGGCCCTGAATTCACAGAGCTCTGTCTGCCTCAGCCTCCTCAGGGCTGAGTTTGCATGCGCGAGCCACCTCATGTGCCCGGGGCTGTTCTTTCCTGAGGCAAGCTTCTGTAGGTCCTGTTGGAAACAGGGCTCTGGAATATTTTTTTACTCTTTTTAATCTGTTTTTATTAGGGTGGTGCGTGTGAAGGATGTGTGTCTATGTGTGGGTGTGGAGATCAGAAGACAACTTTCGGGAGTCTGTTCTCTACTTCCTCCTTTTTATAGAAACTGAACTTAGGTCGCCAGACTTGACAGCAAGTACCTTTACCCACTGAGCTATCTCACCAGCCCAAGATTTTTACCTACTTGCTTGCTTATTTCTTTATTTGCAGAGCTCAGAGTTGAACTTAAGGCCTCATGCATGTTAGGCAAGCATGCTGTCACTAAGCCATAGTTCCAGTCCTTTGAAACAGGGTTGTTTGGTTTTTTGTTTTATTTGTTTATTTTTTTTGTTTTCTTGAGACAGGATCTCTCTACCCCTGGCTGTCCTGAATCTCACTATATAGACCAGGCTGAGTGTAAACTCAAGAGATCCGCCTGCCTCTGCCTCTCCAATGTACTTGAATTGAAGATATATATCACCACTGAACTGAAATAGTTCTGAATAGATCATAAGTATGTAAATTCTTCATGGTTTTGACTAATTTTACCCTAAATATTCTGAAAACTCCATTTTTATGAATTCTTTTTTTTCTTTTTCATGGTTTTATGGTCTATACTTAAATAATTTCACTGACAGTTAAGCACTTATATTTCTGGCATGTGAAAACTCAATAGCTGAACTAAGTGGAAAAGCTTTTAGGGGGCTGGGGAATGACACAGTAAGTGAAGCGCCTACCACACAGACATGAGCATCCAGAGCCGCGTAAAAAGCCAGCCTCAGAGGTGCTGGGGAGGCGAGGGCAGGAAGGGCCTCGGAGCTCCCTGGCCTTCGAGCCAGCTTGGTGAGCTCTGGGTTTCATAAGAGACCCCGCCTCAAAATATAAAGAGTAACAGAGGAAGACGCCCAATGTCAACCTCTGGCTCACACCCAGGCATGTACATGCGCACTGCTGTGTATCTAAGTGTACATACATAGATACACCACACACATACACACACAGAAATTTTACAGAAACTACCTGTCCACTAGAGGACGCTGGCATGCTTTCCCTTTAACTTTCCCGTTCAGGTTCAAGAGCAAACCAGAGAACCCAGCAAGAACCCTTTCCTCAGGAAAAAGCGCTCCACACTCTCTGAGATGTCCCTCCTTCAGACTGTGCAGCAGATCCCAGGGGTTGGAAAGGTTAAGGCCCCGCTTCTGCTCCAGAAGTTTCCAAGCATCCAGCAACTGAGTAACGCCTCCATCCAAGAGCTGGAGGAGGTGGTCGGGCCCACAGTAGCACAGCAAATCTACACCTTCTTCACCCGGAGACAGCAGCCCCGCAGCTAACTTTTCTTCCTCCAGACCACAAACTTCAGCGTCTGGCTTTCATATTTAAAAAGGAAGGAAAAGTTCCCCTCTCCGTGGCAATGAGCTAAAGACAGGGAGAGGGCTGATGCAGTCACCCTGCCTCATTGTCCATCCGGGCAGTGACTTTGTGGGCCTCGGGGGCTGCGGGTGGCACTGCCACTTTCTGCAAGGATGGAAAGAGTCCCATGGGGGATCATCCCAAGAACGGCAGAGACTCAGCCTCAGCGGCAGCGTGACGTTCCAGGTGGCAGCTGTGAGGACCTGGCGCCATGTAAGGGGTGGCCCTGTCTTGGTGTCAGGGCCACAGCCCAGGTCACAGCACAGCCCGTCTGTCTGGAGCACAGCCCGTCCTCCAGAGCTGATGCCACGTAAACACACCTTTCTTTCCCCAATCCCCCCTCCTTCCCAACACAATAAAAATATTTATTTTGTGCCTTAGAGGATATGAAGTAATTAAGATGAAAGAAAAGCAAAAAAATTAATTCAAATAATGAACATGACTATTTATTTAAATATTATACAAACACAGCCCCAGGGATAGTGGGCACACTTTCCTTAAGGCATTTGCTTTCTCAAGATATTGCACAATAGAAAAATATTTAAATCCTCGAATTAAGATCCACAGGCTATATCTTTAAGCACAACACTTAAGCTGTGTCAACCATGACTCTGAAAACAGTCACAGTGTCATCCAACCGATAGCCCCAAAGTCAAGCTGGTAGTTAGATACGTCTTCAAAAGTCAAGGAGAGGTTTCAACTTGAGTAAGTTTACGTCTTTGCCTTGTAAACTGCAAAACTACTGTTTAAACCAAGACTCTTAAAATACATAGTTACATACCTCCTACTTTAGACCAAAAGAGCAACGTTTTGAGTATCAAACAGCATATTATCTACCCTGTAGACAGTATCTCCTAACACTGCTGTGTTAGCAACTGGTCAGTGTGATGGGACTGGAGGGAAAGCTGAGCCTGGACTACGTCTGGGCAAAACAGGACTTTATCCAGGAAATAACATTCAAATTATGTAGGAATGATGTAAGATATTTTTTCATTTCATAAATTCCCAAGTAGAAAAAGCTGCCTGTTTGGGTTTTTTGTTTTGTTTTCATTTGTTTGAGACAGGGTCTCTGTAGCCCCGGCTGTCCTGGAACTCACTGTGTAGACCAGACTGCTCTCAAACTCAAGAGATCTGCTGAGCAGCCTGGTTTTAGCAACTCCTCTAATTTGCCTCCATTCAAGGGTCATTTGAACTCAAGGTTAGGAAATCACTATCACCCAAATCTAGACACTCATCTCTCACAGTTCCTGAATATCATCACCACAGCTGTTGAGAACAGCCAGAGCAGGAGCTGGAGAGATGGCTGTGGTTTAGAGCACTGGCTGCAACCACGTGGTGGCTCGAAACCATCTCTAAAGGGATCTGATGCCCTCTTCTGGCTTGCAGGTATACATGCAGATAGAGTACTTATACTTAAAAATACAAAAACAAAACAGACACAGCCACAGCAGCTGGGCGATGGTGGTGCAAGCCTTTAGTCCTAGCACTCAGGAGGCAGAGGCAGCTGGATCTCCATGAGTTCCAGGCCAGCCTGGTCTACAGATCAAGTTCTAGAACAGGCGGGGCTACAAAGAGAAACCTCATCTAAGAAAAACAACAACAACAAAAACCAAACAAAAAACAGCCAATGCGTCCAGGCTCTTCCCTCCCCTGCTTTAGAGAATAAATAACCGCAGCAGTGTGAAAATCCCCACGCGGCTGGGTTTCCACCAACTTCTAGAGCTTTCTTCTCACTTTCTCAAGCCCATCAGACGCAAGCTTCCACTCTGAGAAGACGGGGTTGGAGAACGTTCCTATCATGGCACGGGTGTTTAGACGGCCGTCCAGCCTCGGGCTGACCATTCCGGTTCCTCCTTCAGTACAGAGAGCTGTCGGAGTTGAGCAGGCTGAAGGGAGTCGGAAGCTTCTTCTTGGTGTGAGGCCTCGCCAGGCCAACCTCAGGGAGGCACAGCGTGCTGGCCGACTTCTGTCTGTTCTTACTGGTGCCCCAGCTCAGGAAGGAGAGCTTTTTTGAGATCTTCTTGGCTTTGTCAGTCTTATCGTCCTCATCCATGGACAGGCAGATCATGGAGTAGGTTTTCTGCATCCCCACAGAGTAAGTGGCGCTCTTGTTATGCTGTCCGTGGGGAAGGAAGAAGAAAAGTGTTAGACGTAACAAGACAGTAATGACCGGCAAGTCTGAGACTTGGGTGAAGAGAGGTGGTGACTGGGAGGCAGAAGCAGGAGGATTAGAAATTAAAGACCAGTCTTGGCTACACGGTGAGTTGGAGTCACAGCACATACTGTGCTAAGAAACCAAAAGTTTCACTTGGGAGGCAGAGGCAGGGAGATCTCTGTGAGTTCCAGGACAGCCTGGTCTACAGAGTGAGTTCCGGGGCAGTCAAGGCTACACAGAGAAACCCTGTCTCAAAAAACCAAAAACCAAACCAAACAAAAGCAAGCAAGCAAGCAAGCAAACAAACAAACAAAAACCCAAAAAATCTGAGGCTCACACTATACAGCGTCCTTTCTGAAGTGAGGGTGACGGAGGCCAGTGAGATAACCCAGTGGGTAAAAGTACTTGCCACCAAGCCCGGGACCTGAATTCATCCTCTGGACCCATTTAGTCCAGGTGGAAAGAGAAAATGGCTCCTGTAGTTCATTCTATACCCTCTGCATGCACACGACAGTATGCTCACACAAGGTAATAAACGTTAAAAAAAAAAAAAAAGGTTGATTTTGATGTCAATGTGACCGAGTCTAGAGCCACTGGAGAAGAGGGAACCTCACTTTGAGAAAATACCTGCAGAGGAATTTTAATCCAGCAACATGGCTACTCTGAGTGGAATTCAGATACATCTTTGGTCCCAGGAAACAGAGGCAAGCAGATCTCTGAGTTCAAGGCCAGCCTGTTATAGAGCAAGTTGCAGGTAAAGAAAAGCTTAGGTCCAGGCATAGTGGCACACATCACTAATCCCAGCACTCAGGAGACAGGGGCATGCAAATCTGAGTTCTTGTCAGTACTGTTCGGTCAGTTGAGTCAGTGAGTAGAGGGGTAGGGCAGCAGAGCCAAGTTTGTGGCAGTTCAGTTTGTGGAATTCAGAGGCCATTTTACCATGGCCATGAGTGTTTTACAAAGAGATACTGAAGAGAGAACAAGCTAGATTTAGGTGAAGACAGAATGAGCCAAAAGATTAGAACATATTGCCAAAGTTAGTATGAGGCCAAGCAGAGCTATTCAGTGAGAAACTGAGAGAAGCCAGATTGAATCAGTCAGCCTGGAGAGGAATTTGAGCCAGAACAGTTGAGCTGAACCAGCCAGCCAGAGTTCAGAAGGGACTACAAAGAGTGCATTCATTCAGCAATACATCTATACAGAGGCTGAAAACATTCTAGGCCTGGATTAGATTGTACAGAGGCTAGAAGCTTCCAGGACTAGGCCTAGGTTAGCAGACAGAGGCAGTAAAGCCTCCAAGATAATTACCTCAGGTGAATAAAGGATACAAATGCCTCCATAAACTCAGGCTGTAGGCAAGCCTGTAGGGCATTTTCTTAATTAGTAATTAATGGGGGAGTAATTAATGGCCCAGCCCATTGCAGATGGTGCCATCCTGGTACCTGGCTGGTGATTTGGGGGTCTGTAAGAAAGCTGACCGTGCAGGCCAGGGGGAGCAAGCCAGTAAGCAGCACCCCTCCATGGCCTCTGCATCAGCTCCTGCCTCCAGGTTCGTGCCTTGCTCGAGTTTCAGCCCCTCTGTGCTCACAGCTTTTGATGAACTGTTACATGGAACTGTGAGTGAAATAAAACAAATCCTTTCCTCCCCAAGTTGCTTTCTGGTCATGGCACTTCGTCTTAGCCACAGTAACCCCACCTAGGGCACCTTAGACTCTGGTAATTTTGGGTGAGGAGTCTCTCTTTCCTAGAACGCAGTGAGGTATAGTGTCATTAAAACAATGAGACTGAACTCTCGGGCACCTGGAGCACCTCCACCCCCCTGCTTTGAGTCTGCCTTCTGGCATGGTTGTTAGGATTTTGGAACAAAAGCTGCTTCTGGGTTGCCTAGCAACTTATGATGTCATCATGTGTCGCTGGACAGGTGGCCACACCTGGAAGGCATGGTTACCTTGACCCTTAAAGGGACAACTGGACACGTGGTCCCTCTCTTGGTTTTTCTCTCTCTTGGTGTCTCTTACTCCTGGCCTCTTGGCCTTTTCCCCTTTTTCTCCATGGGGAGCCCCCTCTCTCTTTTCCCCCATCATGTCCTGCTCTCCCTGCTCTCTGCTCTCCCCTCTCTCCCTCCCTCCATCTCCACCTAATAAACCTCTTTATGTAAGATCTGTCGTACGTCTAATCGTCTTTATTTAGTTTGTACCATAACCTTACAGTGGTCACTTGGCTTTCTCGCACACATTGCCAACTCTCTTCCTTACCCCTCTGGCAGGATGTCAGCTCCAGTTAAATCCTGCCATGTGCCTGCCTCCCTTCCCCCGTTCTTCAAACAGCTGCAAAGGGCTTGAGAAATGCCCTCGAACTCACTGGCTTCCCTGACCTTGTGGCTCTGAATGACCTTTGACCTGGCACTCCTGGTCCCACCAGCCCTTTGCTCCTAGCTGCCTGTTATAATGCCCTCTGCTCACCTCCAACCACTCAACACATATGTAGCCTCGTTCTACATGCAGTTGTGTCGGCCTCAAAGAACAGGCCCTCCTGCTCCTGGCTTCCACTCCCTCTCTGCCAGGTACCAGCCCACACCCTGCGTTCTGGCCTGACCCGTCCTAGCAGACAGGCTCACTCTGCTGTCCATGCGTGGTCTGCAAGCACACCCCCCACACACACACATTCTTTGAGACGCTTCAGCGACCCTTCCCCCTCCCAGGCCTGCTCCTGGGTCTGTTTCCCTTCCCGGCTCTCCCCCTCCTTTCCGGGCTCTCTTTTCTGCTGCTGTTGCACAGTGTGCTCCCCGCTACTGACTCCCCAAGCCTCTGAAAACGCTGCCTGGTCTAACTCCTAAAACCTACTGCCAAGGGCACCAAGGCCCGGAGAGGGTATTAACTGGCTGAAGCCACTCGGCTTGTTGGCACTCGGGGCCCGATTCCAGCTCTTCACCGCAAAGCATGGATTCTTCCCAGGGCTCCGGGGAGGAGCAGGGATTCCACCAGTCAGAACAGAGGGTGGCGGGCAGTGATTCAGGCAGGCCCAGCCCGTCATTTGTTCTCGCCACTTACTGATCTTTTCCTCTCTGGGAAGGACCCCAGGGCATGCTGAGCAAGCGTTAGATCCTGAGCCACATTCTGTTTGGAAGGAAAGTCAGTCAGAAACGATGTTCAGGGGCTAGAGAGACAGCTGGGCAAGGGGGATGGTACAGACAAGCCACAGGGGGGAAGAGCGTCTGCGGCTCTCCCGGGAGGACCTGAGTTCAGTTCCCAGCACCCACGTCAGAGGGCACACAACTGGCTGTAACTCCAGCTCCAAGGAGCCTGTGGCTTGTGGCACCCAGCACCGTCACTCACGCATGAGTCCACACCCACACGCAGACAAAAACCTACCTACATATAGTTAGAATTAATAACCACAGTGGTCGGGTGCCATCATCTGAAGTCTTCCTTGGCTACCAAGAATGACCGTAACAACCATGGTATTACTGTCACACCTATTATATAAACACATGGCTCGTGTCCTGCTCTACCCGAGTTACCTACACTAACTCACTGAGGCCCACTACGACCCCAGGACACACGTCCTCTCTCCCACTATCTTGAGTGTCAGAGCTCTTCTTGGACTTACTCAAGGCCCCTGACTGGTTCAGGCCAGAATTCAAATGCGGCTGGGCTGTTTGCTGAGTGGCTGCTTTTAAAACCATACCCTGTTGGCCTGGTTCAAAGGCCGGGCAGCAGCAGAGAGAAACCTTTTGATCGTTCATGGGAGCAGAGCCAGCTCCGTGTGTCCAGATTCCTGGTGACGCTCAAGACCACGCACAGCTGTGTGTTTGTTCTCAGGCTTCCTGGTGGGGACTTTACTGCCTGTCCAGAAACACCACGGGCCTTGTGTGTGTGTCCACCCCACAGCATTTTCCAGGTTTTCCTTCCAGCATGTTGTGGGTCTATACTTCCTCATCCCCTGGTCTCTACTTAACTGCTTGCGTTTATTTATCGCTGGCTCTTTCGAGGCTGCCCTCATGCTTCGAAGCGATGCAAACTGTTCACTGTGGCCTAGCTGGTGGAACGGATGTTCTCAGATGAGCCTTGAAGGTGATGTCTACCAAGGCCAGCCAAGGCCAGCTCCAGTTGCCACACCTTCCCCACCACGGTAAGCCGTGTCCCCTGAGGCCGTGAGCCTCTGTAAACCTCTAAGTCGCCTACTTCTGTCCTTATTTCGGTCACAGCAACATGGAGTTAATACAGCTGAGAAATACTGCATATGAGCTCTGTCCCTCTCTGTCTCTCTGTCTCTCTCACACACACACACAGAGTCTACACCACCTGGCGAGATACTCACAGCCCACCTCCAGGCAGCAGAAATCACTGGTCTGTGAAGACAGAATGGCTCCCAACCTCCACCCCTGTCGGCAAGCCCCGCCCCACTTCCTGCAGTTGACTCTGGTCACCGTGCTTGAGGAAAGGTCTTCCCCTGTCCCGCTGGCACAGTCTGTGCTCCTGCTGGTGCCATCCTTGGCACGCCCTGTTTTCTTTCTTTTTTCTTTTCCCAGATTGATTTATTTCTTATGTAGACGAGTGCTCTATCTGCACGAACACCCGAATGCTAGAAGAGGGCCGCCAGGTGGGTGCTGGGGAATTGAACCTCTGAAAGAGCAGACAGCACTCTTAACTGTTGAGCCCTCTCTCCAGCCCAGCCATCTCTTCAGCCCTTGTACCCACTGCTGGACCCTGGACCACGTTAGTCCTTTTCTCAAAACCACACCTGTGCTTTGTACAGGCCTCACAGGGCTTCTTGAGTCAACTGGGGAGAGGCCCTGGGGCCCTCGTAGCCTTGGCTTCCAGTTCTACACCACTGTCGGCCCCTTTCACATTCACCTACCAGATGCCATCAACCATACCAAGTAGCTGGAACAAGGGGGCCACTGGATCTGGGCTTTCCACCTCCGAGGTTGTGAGTGAACAAACCTCTTTGTCTCATGAGCAGTTAGCCTCAGGTCCCTTGTCACGGTAGTGAAAAGTGACTAGCAGACACAAGCATCGGCTCAGAGTACTGAGAACAAGAGTTGTTACGCCGTGAACGGTCTAAGGTGCCTTGTTATGTGTGGCAAAGTGCAGAGCAGAACTGACACTTTAGCGCACCTCCTTCCGCTGGGTAAATGGTCAAAGGCTCTGACTTCACACAGGGATCCACAGACACATCAAACACTTCCAAGATCTCTCGGGAAATGGCTATCACCGTCTCTAAGCCCTTCCGTATAAACCAACCATTTGTTTACCCTATCGCCTGCCTGCCCTCTGTCTGTCTGCACCCACCCGTCAATCTGGCACAGGGTACAATCGTACACTCTATCCCAGGCCTGGAACTCAAAACCTTCCCACCTCACACTCCCAGGTGGCAGGCTTCCTGAGACACACTGTGCTCAGCTTTATCTGAACACTTTCTGAGACACACTGTGCTCAGCTTTATCTGAACACTTTCATTGCATTATTCCTGTGAGTCAACAGAATTTAATCAGAAAAGTTACCCCAGGGCGAGGAGCGGAAGAGAACCCGGATGGCTTTCGATGCTCCTGCCACGAACCTGTGGGAGACAGCCCAACTCCCGCTGACCGCCCCCAGCCCGTCAGTGACCACCAGGGTGTCTGCACTCACCATGGATGATGTGGAGTCCAGGAGGCTCACCACCTTCATCTCAACCTCCTCCCCGCCAAAGCTCTTAAGCAATTTCATGACCTCACTCACGGTCAGCCATTTACAATCCACGCCTTGAATGGAAACAATGTAGTCTCCTTCCTTAGCTCCTGCCAGCTAAAAACAATTGTTTGAATAAATGTCAGGAATTACTCAAGGAACTCTACAACTCTCCCCAGATTCCTGCTCCAAGCAGCCAGTTTGGTTTTATCTTGTGAGTGTGAGTGTGTGTGTGAGTGTGTGTGAGTGAGTGTGTGTGTGTGTGTGTGTGTGTGTGTGTGTGTGTGTGTGTGTGTGTTGTATCCATATGCTAATTAAATGCTCCAGCACTGAGCCCTACATTTACATAAAGTTTACTACAAGAAGTAAAAACTCATCTGAAGGGCGGTGGTGGGTGTAAAGTACCCAGAAGGCCTTTCGCTTAAGAGTCAGACCTCTGACGTGGCCAAACCCAAACCTCCACCACCCAGCCACTGTGCCCAGGCTGCTGGTTCTGAGTCCTCCCTGCTCCCCGTGGGTCTTCCCACTTACCGAAGCAGAGCACTGAGGATCTAGGAAGTGCACCTGGACGGGGGTGTTCCCTCGCAAAGTGAACCCCAAGTCTCCTTCTTCCACCATGAAGTGAATGCCTCGAGGAGGCGTCCATCTTTTGTTGGCCGAAAACACAGACAGGGGGCCCTTGGGAAGAGAGGGTCAAGAGGTGGATGAAGGTTTGGAGGCTGACTTGCTACACCGTCCAGGCCAGCCTCAAACACGTGGATTCAAAGGACGCTGCTCCTGCCTCTGTTCTTCAATCAGCTCCCTTACGCCTAACGTCACGTGGGGCAGTGTGAGCTGGCGCAATCGTGTAGGAACAGTATTTACATAGTCTCTAATGTAGCCAGTGTATCAAAGATTACCTTATAGAAATTCATTCATATTCTCTCTCTGCAGGGATTCAAACCCAGGGCTTTGCTCATGCTAGGCAGGCCCGCTGTAACTAAGTTATGCCGCTAAGCCTACTAATTATCTCAATAGGGCCAGGCCAGGTGGCACACACCTATAATCCCAGCACTCCGGGAGGCAGAGGCAGGCGGATTTACACGGTGAGTTCCAGGACAGCCAGGGCTACACAGAGAAACCCTGTCTCAAACAAATAAATAACGCCCCTCCACCCAAAAGTAGTGAAATAAATAAATGAATGACACGATCAACGTACCAGCTTCTGGAAGAAGTCTGTAACCGTCACTCTGGAGAACTGGGGGACCATTATTCCTGCCTCTCGCTCAGTTCTTGCTACAAAAGAAGATTATAAATTAGGGTAAGCGGGTGCGTCACGGAAAGTAGTTCCCGAAAACTTGGGTCTCAAGGCCTCCCCCCAAAGACACCAACCAAGTTCCCCTTGGCTTAAACATATGGAAACCCCCTCGAGCCTGGCCCCAGGTAACCATGCTTTCCTCTGGGCACTTCCTAGGAGTCTTAAACCATTTGAAGCCAGGACACCGAAGACCAGACACAACTCTGCCTTCTGATATTGTTCATATTCGGGGGTTCTCGACCTTCCTAGTGCTGGACCCTTTAGTCCAGTTCCTCATGTTGTGGTGACCCCAGACATGAAATTATTTCACCGCTACTTCATAACTGTCATTCTGCCACTGTTAGGAACAGTAATGTAGATATCTACGCTTTCCAATGGTCTTAGGCGACCCCTGTGAAAGGATTGTTCAGCCCCCAAAGGGGTCACAGCCCACAGGTTGAGAACTGGCTGTTCTGGCAGACTGCTGGACACCATGGCAGGCTCCCTCCATTCACACAGTGACTCTGCCAGCTCTTAAGGTCATTAACAGGGTGCGACTAGAGTGGTGGCACCCTCCTGTGAGCCGGAGTCCTCCCTCTTGCCATGGAGTATAAATCTCTACCTCCGGAGCAGAGGGAGCACAGCAGCTGAAGGGAATCCATTTGTACTTACACCAGAGGTGGGATGACTGGGGACAAGGACTTGAATCCGTAAGCATTTCTTCCTTGCCTGTATTTTGTCCTTGCTGGAGATGCCAGCAATTACACTGAGCCACACCCCAGCCCCTCACTGGGGGATTCTAGGCAGGGGCTCTACCACTGAGCCACGGACCCAGTATTTCTAATATTAGCACCATCTTCAGTGCTAATACGGATGGGACCTTTGAGGTTGCCAGACCTCAGATGCTAATACTGATATAGAAGAGCCCAGGATTCCAGCATGAAAAGTTCCCTAGTTCTAGGGGCAACTCTAGAGACCAAGATCAGAGATGTAGGAAACAGGGAGGGTGAGAGATACTGTGATACATATATTTTTCGGCTCTCATCCACAGTTCCTGGTTCGTAACTCCCTCCCCACAGTGGGCTATAGAAACTAAAATTCCTGTCCTCCAGGAAATCATGAAAACTCTAATCTTTCTGTGTAGGATCAGGCCACAGGACCTCTGACCGATGCTTGTCAGATAGCAGGTCATGAGATCTCTCCATTCCAAAGGGACCTGCCCCATACCCTGGAGGCAGGAACGCTGCAGAGGCTCTCATATGCCCCGTTTGAGCTGGCTTTTCCTCTACATCCTCAGGAGGGTCCCAGCCCAACTGGATTACCCTCCACTTCCCACCTCTACTTTCTAAAACAAAACAAAACAAACAAAAAAATCCCTACTGTAGAGCAACCTATCTGGTGAGGTCCTGCCATTTCCCAGCACAGCAATAACCATCCAGGCCACCTCACCACTGTGATAAGGGACAGCTGGGGAGATGTTTAGAAATATTGGGGCCACAAAAAAGTGAGAAAGCAAGTCCAGAGGTACAAACAGGTGTATACATTTGGCTTCCAAGCTAAGGAGGCAGAAGGGAAAGACGACAGCCAGCGGCGTAGTCCGTGGTGGAAGCTGCAGGCCTCAGACCAAGAAGCAAAGCCCAGAGCAGGCTTGAGACACCATGAGGAGGGGTATACCCAAACCAACTCAGACAAACAGCTCAGGGAAAGGTGGGAGGGTGGGCTGGACAAGAAGTCAGCAGAGGGCAGAGCAAAGCATACTAGAGCAAAACAAGATCAGTTAAGCCTGAACCACAATGCCAAGAAAAGCACAGAAGAGACAGAGAAGGCGGGGACTGAGAGGAGGGGACTGAGAGGTGGTACTGAGAGGAGGTGGAGACTAAGGGGAGGCGGGGACTGAGGGGAGGCGCGGACTGAGGGGAGGCGGAGATTGAGAGGAGGCGGGGACTGAGAGGAGGCGGGGACTGAGAGAAGGCGGGGACTGAGGGGAGGCGGAGATTGAGAGGAGGTATAAGGGGAGGCGGGGACTGAGAGGAGGAGGGGACTGAGGGGAGGTGGGGACTGAGGGTGACAGGCTCTGAAGTGAAGGTGGGAAGAAAAAGGTAAAAAGGAGGTAAAAAGGGTAAGAGCAGGACCTGCCACCCCCATCCCCACCTTGGCAGAAATAAGAGTTTTACTATACAGCCCATGTCAAGGCTGACCTTGAACTTATGGCATCCTCCAGCCTCACCTCAATACTAGAATTACAGGTATACCCACTACATCCAGGCCTTGCACGAGCCCTGCCAGATGGCCAAAGAAATACAGGCCTGTGTAGCTGAGGTAAGGCACAACCAGCCCACCCACCCCCCCACACACACACACACACACACTCCGCAGGTGCCCAACAGCCGGCTGACCAGTCCCCACCACTCACGGAGGACATCGGGAGCGTCAATCAAGTTGAGCAGATCATCATCCTCTCGGTGCTGGGTGTACTTGAGCTGAGTGCGCTGGTGGGCAGCGGACAGCACATCCCGGAGCACCTGAATGTCCCGCAGCTTCTTGCACAGGTTGGCCTCCCTCAGCGACTCCTCGTGGTGGCCAATGGCCCGGTGCAGATGTCCTTTACCTGCAGACAGAAACATCTCTCAGACCAAGAAAGGCTTTTCTGGTTGAGCAACATTTGGAGCTAAGATAAAAATGTGGAGTAGGTCGGTGGAAGCCCATGCCTTTAGTCCTAGCAGAGATAGGCAGATCCCTTTAAGTTAGCTGCTTTCTAAAGTCTAGGGTTACAAGGAACAAGGGGATGGGGGTGGGGAGTGGTTCACACCTTTAATACCAGCACGTGGGAGGCACATGAATTTGATTCCAACACTTGGGAGACAGAGGCAGGCACAAAGGAATTACAATGATTTAACTTTAAAAGCCACTTAGAAAAGGCAGGCTAAAATTTAGAATGAATGTCCTTTATAATCTAGTATCTTTAGGCATATTTAATTTCATATTTTCAAAAGGACTTTCTTTAAATTTCAATTGAGAGATAATGTATTTTCTATCACCGAAAACCATTCTGCCCTAGGAAAGACACACACCACCAAAAAAGAAATGCCCCAGAGTTAGAGCCAGGAGAACATCATAATCAGCTGTTTACAATAAAAGTTCTTGGATAAAAGCTCTGTGATAGGGCTCAACCAAACCAAACAAGAAACAGGGTTTTACAGCTCACAATTTTGGGATTCACAATGGGATCAAATAACCTGCAACAAGTAACTTTAAATTTGTGTGTGTGTGTGTGTGTGTGTGTTTGATGAGGTAACTTTTTCTTTTGGTGATGGTGGGGGTTAATTCTCAAATATCCCAGGCTAGACTTACTCTGCAGCCAAAGCTGACCTTGAACTTTCGATCCTCCTGCCTCCATCTCCCTAGTACTGGGGTCACAGGCATGCTCTGCCACACGTGGATTACGTGGTGCTAGGAACCCACCCAGGGCTGCAGGCACGCTAGGCGAGGCTCTGCCAACTGAACAGCTAGGTTAACTTTGAGCAGAGCTCTGGGGTCAAGCCGCAGCCGCAGCCTCGGGGATACGTGACAGGAGAGCATCCCTGAAAGAAGAACAAGTGCAAAGGCCCTGGGTCAGGAGCACAGCCAGGTCTTCAAGGAAGGTGGGTTATGGCTGGAGAGAGGGCGGACAGAAAGGTAGGATGACAGGTTAGAGCAAGGGCCAGATCCCTCCTGACCATACGCATGCTGGGAAGGCCGGGGAAGGCCAGGGAGGAGCCCCTCAGGGCGTGAGCAGAGGACTAAGGTGGCCAGGTTCCGTAGGAAGAGAAGTGCGGAGAGCAGCTATGAAAGCAGGGGTCGTAGCAGGCCTGTGTCACAGGGCTGTGTGGGGATTAATCCAGTCACCGTGGATGAGGTGGGTTCCATTGTGTGACTTCAGCTAGAGTGTCCCAGGGGGTAAGAGGAGGTAGGAGCTGAGCCGTGTGATTTGCTGGCCAAATGTGGAGTGAAAAAGGCAGGTGGGAACACCAAACGCCGCCAACACTCTCACCAAGATGGGGAGATGGTCACGCTGACACGGGGCAGAGAGCTAAGCCAGGATCCCCCATCCCAGCATTCACTCACTATTGGTGAAGCATAGAAACAACAATGGGAGCCAGGGCATACCAGCACTTGGGAGGCTGAGGCAAGGGGATGGCGAGTTCAAGACTGGCCTGGGTGGCTTACTAACAACCTGCCCCCTAAATGAAAAAAAAAAAAAAAAAAATCAGCCAGGCGCCTGTAATCGCAGCACTCTGGGAGACAGGACAGTGGTAGTCAGGGGTTTGGGTCAGTGGTAATGTGTTTTCCCAGCATAGATGAGACCCTCTGTTCAATCCCCAATTCTGAAAAACGAAGGAGGGAGGACTCAGGAAGCTGAGGCAGGAGATGGAGATCACTGCAAGCCTGAGAGGGCTGTGCTGCAGAGAGATGACTCTGTCTCAAAAGGAAATGGATGACCAAATAAATGAATTAAAAAAGAAAAACAGTCAGGCACGGTGGCACATGCCCTTAATCCCAGCACCCTGGAGGCAGAGGCAGGTGAATCTCTGTGAGTTCGAGGCCAGCGTGGTCTACAAAGTACTGAGTCCAGGACAGCTAGGGCTCTGTTACATAGAGAAATACTAGAGGCAGACAGACTTCTGTAAGTTCAAGGTCAGTTTGGGCCAGTCAGGGCTACACAGTGTAACCTGTGTTAAAGAAAGAAAAGGGGAGAGGTGGGGAGGAGGGGGAGGGAGGGGGAGCAACAGTTTCCATAGCCATTGACAGACGCCAACCACGGACAGCTACAGGATTAGCAGGCAGTTAAGGACCTGTTGGAGGTGGGAAGCTGTAAGAACATGGCTCTGGAAAGCCCTCTGCAGCTAGAGCTGGCCCCGTCTTGGGGGTGCTTGTGCGCAGGATCGGCTGAGGAGCGAGCAGAGCCCAGCGCAGGACAGGACTACGCACCCAGCAGCACGCGCTGCCCCTCGTTCTTCAGCGTGGCCAGGGGCGCCATCCCTTCCGGCATGCGGTCGTAGAGCTGGGAGATGCACTTCTCCTGGTGGTCCTCATCTGCGCCCGGCTTTACTGCAAAGACAGCTCCGGTTATGCTCTCTCTCTCTCTGGGGACAGTGCCCCAGACCCGAGTCCTATTTCAACAATGGCACCAAGATAGTTTTGGCTTCAGGGTATAACCCTGGCTACCAGGCCCAAATCCTTCGCTCCCAAGGGGATAGCTGCACCACGAGGGGTTCAAGATCTGACCCTGGACCAATCTCCTCTACCTTGCCCCCAAGTTGAACATTACATAGCAATCAGCCAATGGCTGCCCCATCTGCATTCTGCCCAGGGGCTGCCATGGCTCCTTATAATCCTTCTGCTTTGTTTCTTCCTCCCTGGGAGAAGTTGTGTTTTGTTTTTTTTTTTTTTTTTTTTTTTTTTTTTTTTTTTTTTTTTTTGTGTGGTGTGGGGGTTTGTTTCTCTTTTGGTTCAGGCTGGCTTGTCTTTTTTGTAGTTGAGGAAAACCTTAAACTTCTGATCCTCCTGCCTCCACTTTCCAAGTGCAAGAGTCATGGACCAGTGCTGAACCCCGGGCCTCGCAAACGGCCTAGCTACAGAGCCCCATGCCCAGCCCATGTGAGAGTTAGCGCTGTGTGTGTGGTGCTTGGGATGGGAACATACCCCACCCCTCGAGTTTTTAGAACATCAAAATGAAGGGATAAAGTAGAGTGGGCGCTTTATACACAGTGAGGGGCCGAGGCAGGACCTGTGAGCCTGAAGCCAGCCAGCCTGGGTCACGTGGCAGATTATTCAAACAGAAGAAGAAAGATCCTCACAAAATAGGACGCCAGCTATTTTCACACTAGACTCCATGAGGGCTCAAACAGGCTTTCTGTGCGATCCCTGTTTTGATGCCTTTTTTTTTTTGTACTTTGTTTTTTGAGACAGGGTCTCTCTACACAGCCCTGGATGTCCTAGAACTCACTGTGTAGACCGGACTGACCCCAAACTCACAGAGATCCACCTGCCTCTGCCTCCAGAACACTGAGGCTTAAGGCACGCACCACCACGCACAGTGGCACACGCTTGTGATCCTAGCATTTCAGAGCCAGACAGAAAGAACAGGCGTTTCAGGCCAGCTTGGGCTACGTGACGTCAAGTCTCAACAAAACACAGCAGAGCAAAGCTGCTTTCTGGGGATGGGAGTGGAAGCATACAATATAATCTTACCATTTGGAAGGCGGATGCAGGAGGAGCCTGAGTTCAAGACCAGACTAGGCTATTTAGGGAGACCTCATCTCTGAGAAGATAAATAATTAAATGCACTAAAATAAACACCACATCACTGGGAGGGCAGAGGCAGGTTAGATCTGTGAGTTGGAACGGTGAGTTCCAGCAGAGCCAGGGCTACATAGTGAGACCCGGTTTTGATAAAACAAAACAAAACAAACAAAAAATTCTAAAAAGAATTCTTTAAAATGTTATTTGCACCCCCCCCCCCAAGTCCCATTAGAGTCAACCCTGAATTCCGAAGGCCTGTGTGATAGGATCAGCATGTCCCTTGGTGGAGGACAGGAAGGCTGTTCCCACCCAGCTCAGCATCCCCCAAAGGTAGCACGCCCACAGTCCCGAGCCTGAGCCTTACACTGGTGGTCGATGAGGAGGGTGGCGGCAAAGTACTGAGCCAGGGCCCCATAGTGGTGGGTCTTCACATAGGCCACGCTGGCCCATGAATACGGGATGTTCTCCTTCACTGGTTCCTGGCTCATGGCTGCATGCAGCTGCCGGTAGGCCTCTGCCACCTGAAATAGAAGGGAGATGGGCAAGGAGAGCCAGGCGAGGGGCCCTCCCAAGCCTGGCTCTAGAGAAAGAGTCCTTTCTTCTAGGCCAAATCCCCTGCTGGAGAATGCTCCAGAATGTGGGCGTAGAGCCAGGCAAGTCCTCCTGCTGTCAGCATCAGCGCTAACAGAGGCCCGGGCAACTGTCATTAGGCTGCTTTTTCAGCTAAGCTGCAGATGGACTCGGTGATCCGTATCTGGAACACCAGCACCTGCCAAGCAAGCACAGGCCAGCCACCTCGGTGGCACTGGTACATTGCTCGGGTTGTGAGTGAGCTGCGGCTGTGACAGCCCCCCCCCCCCCGCTTCTGCTGCTCCCAGAACTTGTAACAGTGGATCCTGGCCACCCCAAAGTCACAGGAAGTATGAAGCCTTACCTTGGCGGCCTCCTGAGCCACCTTTACCAACATGAAGAACTCATTCTGGATCCCCGGGAGGCAGACTTTCTCAAACACGCTCTCCTGGGCTTGGGCGAGCATCATTTTGACCAGCACGCTGAGCATGGCGGGGCTCATGTCGTAACTTGGAGTATGGGTGAAGGTCTCTTTCAGGTAGTTTAAAACCCCTAGGGATCAGAATTTGTGGCTCATTAGTTGGAAATCACACTTATTTTATCATGCTGCTGTAGAGAAAGAAGAAAGAAAATACAACTGGGGTTAGGGGAGTGCTTACAGAGCACACAGGAAGCCCTGAGGGTAAGCCACAAGCTGAGCAAAGAAATCTGTCTATCAACCATCGCTCTAATGTGCATATACAACTTTTATATCATATATGCACACACACATATACATGACAGACACCCATAATCCTAAAGCACCTTGAAAAAAAAAATCTGTATTTGTCAGGTGTGGTGGTGCACACCTTTAATCCCAGCACTAGGGAACTGGAGGAGGAGGATGGACAGTTCAAAGACATTCTAGACGATATGGCTCTGACTCTCAGCTGCCGTGCTATCTAGCCATTCCATATTCTACTCCTTGTGTAGCCTCCCAACAGCTGCATGAAAGCCCTGACTGCTTCGTGGACACCCATGCTCACCACAGCACAACAGTGACAACACAACACCGCAGCACAACTAGTCACAACAGCCAACAGGTGGACCACTCCAAACACCGCTGACAGATTAACTCGTGATCGCAACATCTGCACGCACGCACGCGCGCGCACACACACACACGCACACACACACACACACACAGAAATATTCTTCAGCCTTAAAGGGGGTAAGGGAGAGGTGGTTAAGGGGACAGAGAGCTCAGTGGCAGAGTGTGTGCTTACAGTGTGAGACGTCAATTAACACAATGAGGAGTTAGCTGGCTTGGATTCTAGCACTTTAATTCTAGCACTTGGAAAATGGAGGGAGGGGATCGCTGTGAGTTCCAGGCCAGTCTGGTCTGCAGAGTGAAATTTCAGGCCTGCCAGGGCTTCACAGTGAGACCCTGTCTCAAAAGACAGGGGAACACAAATGAAGACTTTCTGCCCGGTACAATAAGCCAGCCACAGAGTGACACAGCACAGGATTCCATTTGGTGAGGTTCCTGGAATAGTCCAGCCCGGAGACACAAAGTAGAACAGAAGTGACCAGGAGCTGCAGTACAAGGAAAGGGCCACTATGGGTAATAAGTACAGAGATGCCGGGCGTGGTGACACACCCCTGTAACACTAGCACTTGGGAGGGTGAAGCAGGATGGCCAGGTGACCGTGTCTTTTGTTGTTGTTGATTTTCGTTTTTTTGAGACAGGGTTTCTCTGTGTGGCCCCGGCTGTCCTGCCTCTGCCTCCCGAGTGCTGGGATTACAGGAGTTCTCCACCACGCCCGGCTCGACCCTGCCTTGAAAAGTGACTAGAGGCATGAATAGATAGGGCTGGCTCCAGTGGGCATGGCGAGGACACGCTTGGAGTGGGAGGGCGGTGACAGCTTCGCAGGGGGCTCGGCCCAGCTGCGCTGCACGCTAGGAAACCGTCAACAAGACAACTGTACCCACGAGTATTTACCACAGCGAGGAAGTTAAAAGCTGTGACTCGTCACAGCTCTACCTTGCCGCAGTGTTTTAAATTGGATTCTCTTTGAAGCAATTGCGTATTCAGGAAGCAAGGGAAGCAGCTGGCTCTCCTAGGTTCTGTCCCACCGGGGCAACTCCATAAACTCCATCCATGATGGGCGAGTGAGTGAGGGGTGATGCTTCCCGACGGACACACCCGCACGGCCACCCTCGGCTACTTCCAACAACTCAGAGAAGTTAACTGTAGCAAGCCCTGACTGACAGTTAACCTGGAGGTGAAGCAGACTGGACAGCATGCATCCAATCCAACTGGTTCCTCTGGTTTTGCTGCCCCAGAAAAGGATGGTGTCTGCTCCAGGCTGTTTGCCCCGCTGCCTTCCTTCATCCTGGACTGTCCTGTTTCTAAACTTCTTTGTTTGTGTTTCTGGAGCCTTGGAGGCAGGTCACAAGGTGTGACTCCCTGAGACTGCTCAGAAGCCAGCGCAATTAAGCAGACCGGCAGTCCCAACCTGCCGGAGACTGAGAGGCTAGCCTGAGCTAAATATTAACAAGACCATGCCTCCACGCGTCCAAATGGGAAAGCTGTGGCACTTCACCGTGGCAGGGTGATAATCTCCACACAGGCTCATGCAGGCAGGGGAGGTGATGAGCACAGAGGACAAAAGGACAGTAAGCTGGCATTCAGGAGGCCGAGGCATGATGACCACATCAAGTTCAAAAGTTAGAATAGCTGACATAGGGAGTTAAAGGCTATCTTGGATCAGAGAGTGACAACCTGTCTCAAAGAATTAAAAAAAATTTTTTCATCAAGTGCTGGGCATGGTGGCACATGCCTATAATCCCAGCACTCACGGAGGCAGAGGCAGGCGGATTTCTGTGAGTTCAAGGCCAGCCTGGCCTACAAAGTGATTCCAGGACAGCTAAGGCTACACAGAGAAACCCTGTCTGGGAAAAAAAAAAAAAAAAAAAAAAAAAAAAAAGCTGCTTAAAGGGTCACACTGTGGTGTGTGCCCCAGCTGCTGCTGTCAGCCTCCGTTTGCAAGCTCAGGCTCCTGCAGACACAGGCCCAGCTAGGAGGAAGCAACACAGAACCCCAGTCTGTGCCACGCTGGCCCGCTACATGGACTGCAAGGACCCCTCAAGGCTTGGTGCTGAGCAGGTTTTCTCCTTTAACCCTGATTCTGGTTTGTACCAGGATGAGCTGCAGGGGTGATGAAGTTAAAATGAGGGAAAACACGCTGTGAGGGCACACATCTGCCGTCTCGGCACCCGGGCTGAGGCGGGAGGAGCCCAAGTCCCAGGCCAGCCCCAGCGCCACAGGAAAGAGTGGCTGGGAGTGCTAGGCGATCCCCGAAAGTGACAGAAGCAGCAGGCGGCTCCTGGTATGAGGCACCTGACGGCGGGCAATCGGCAACCACAGGCTTTGCAAACTTGGCAGATTAAACATAATACAAAAGTGCAGATAGTAACAGTAATTCCCTTTATCTGAGGTTCAGCTCTGTTCCAGCTCAGCTACCTTCAGCCAACTGTAATGCGGTAATATTGCATGGAAAATTCCAGAAACAAGCAATTCATGACATTTACCATGCTGAATTGCTATCACTGTTCTACTTTGTTGTTAGCTGTTAATCTTTAACTCTGTCCCATTACGGTAGATAGTGACACGTACAGGAGCTCTTTTCTTCTTTTCTTTCCTCTCCTTTCCCCAGGTCAATCGTCTGCAGTACTAGGGGTCAACCTTGAGCCTCACACGTGCTGGGCAGTGTGCTACCCCTGAACCCTCCCCCCCCCCAAGCCCACCCTCATACAGGCCTCCGGACTGGTTGCAGTTTCACACAGGCATGTCTTAGAACGTGTCGCTTCTGTACTGACTGGTGGAGTGACAAGTACCGGAAAAGTCTAAAGGGTTCACCTCCGCCAGTTAGGGCAAGTCACTGTAGTTCTATCACTGAGAAATCTTCACATTCACAGTCACCGCTGGAACCACTCACTTGGAAAATACTAATCATTAACTATGAGCTTCACTGTGTACATGAGCCCTGCTGGACTGAAGTCACTTGATGCCAACCACTGAGTAAGTCTCCCAACCAAGAAGTGACAGGGCCATCCCTTCCTCCTTCATGTGTGTGATAATAGACTGACCCGAGGGCCTCCCTCAAGCTCCTCAAGCTTTCTACCACTGAGCCACACCCCCAGCTCCTCACTGGGGGATTCTAGGCTGGGGCTCTACCACTGAGCCACACCCCAGCCCCTCACAGGGGGATTCTAGGCAGGGGCTCTACCTCTGGAACCATGATCCCAGTCCTTGTGAGGCTTGTAAGGCACTGGTACTTGGTGGGTCTGCAGAGGACCCAACTGAGACGTTTCAGCTGGGGACAGAAGCAACATTTCTTGTGCCACCTGGTGGTTTGAAGACTGTGCGGTGGCTGACCTGGAGGACACTCACCTGCAGCTCTCTGGAAGGCATCCACAGCGCTTTCCAGCCCAGCCTGCGTCTGCCGGTTACATCGGGTCCCAATCTGCGTGTACAGCGCCCCGATGTTGAAGAGAATGCTGGCCTTCTCCAGCAGCAAGTTCTGCTGGCTGACTGGAACCCCGGTGAGGGAGTCATACCTGTGTGAGACAAATACGTTCCGATCATACAGATGGCTCGGCTCACTAATGCCACTTCTGGGCACACAAGAGCAAAAAGCTCACTTTTCACATGAAATTCAAAGACACGCAGGCAATCAGCCTTTTGTTTCCAAGCAAGATGACAGGTCTGAATAGACAGGATTCATGCCTATCACCCCAGCACTCAAGAGGCTGAGGCAGGAGGATTGTGAGTGTGACAGTCTGGGTCACTCAGCAAGAAGCTTTCTTAAGAAACCATCTTAGTCTTTAAATTAGAGTCAAATGTTGTGTTTCAAGTTTTAAAATCCCTCTCTGGAACACATCTATAATCACAGCATTTGGGTTGCAGAGACAGGAGGATCGCAGCCAGTTTGTGGTCACTTTAAGGAGATCTTGGGACTAGGTAGTGAAATCCTGTCTTAAAAACAAAACAAAAATTGTTTCTTTTTGCTGCCTTTGTCATTGGGATCAAACTCAATTCCAGCTCACACCCACAACCACTCCCCATGTAAGAAAAGAATATTCTCATTAGTTCCACCTGAGAGCCCTGTCGCTCCCCAGTGACCACAGAAAAAAGGTCTCTTTTATGGCCGGTTTGTTCTGAGAAGCAAGAAGCCACAGTCGGTTGTGGCTTTCCATCATCAGGTCTTACACAAACATCCATTTACCGACAGTCCCCGCCCCTGGGACCCTCTGGGCAAACAGCACAGTCAGAACGAGGGTGTGAACAGCAGAGGGGACCCAGGAGAGCACCTACCAGGTAAACAAGAGCCCCATGTGGCGGGTGGGTGGGAAAAACCGGCTCTCCACGAAGCTCAGCTGGATGAAGTAGGACATGAGCAGTTCGACGCCCGCCTCATCCCTGCTGGGGGTGCGACAAGCCTGGAAGACGAGGGGGTGTGAGCGGGGTGGGAATCGAGGCCCAGGACCCAACCCCGCTGTGAGTCCCACGAACTCCAGGAGACAGAGTCAGGGAGCGCTGCCCCAGCCAACGAGGGCAGGTCTCACCCCTCCTATGGTTTCTATCATCCACGGCAAGGCCCACAGAGGGTCCTGAAGGCCCCTCTCCGCGCCCAGCATCCTGGAGTCTCTGAGGCACTCTATGCCCACTCCCGCCAACAGGGCTGCCTCCCCGACCGCTGCGCTCACCTGTCTAAGGTCCATGAGGTCTGCGATGTCATCCTCGTACAAAGAGCTGTCCTCGCTGTAATGTTCCAAAATAAAATCCTAAAAAGAAGAAAAAAAAAAAAAGATAAACATTCGAGCCAACAGCCGGGGTTGCAACTCGGGGGTGGAAGGAGGGGGAACCGTCACGTATGAGGCCCTGGGTTCTAACGCGGTGTGGGAGAAACACACTGAGCCAAACTGTAGATCTAGCCTGCTGTTGTGGCGCACACACCTGCCATCCTGGCGCTTGAGGAGCAGAGGCCCGGCAACGGCGAGGCAGCCCACGCTACATGCTGAATATTAGGACAGCCTGGGCTACAGACGGTATGAGAGCCTGCCTTAAAGAAACCAAAATCAAGCGGGCTGGAGAGATGGCTCCGTGCCTAAGCGTGTGCATTGCTCTTGCAGGGGACACGCGCTCACTTCTCGGAACCCATGTCAGGTGGACCAAAAGTTTCCCGTACGTCCGACTCCGCAGGATCTGATGCCTCCAGCTTCCCAGGGCACAAGCTACTATCACACACACTCTCTAGTTTTGTTTTATTTTGTTTTGTTTTGTTTGAGACAGGGTTTCTCTGTGTAGCCCTGGCTGCCCTGGAACTCACTCTGTAGACCAGGCTGGCCTCGAACTCACAGAGCCTGCCTCTGCCTACGAGGGTGCTGGGATTATAGGCGTGCGCCACCAGGCCTGGCAAAAAATTATATATATATATATTTAATGCAAAGAAAAGAATTGGATGAGAAAACGTCTCCGTAACAGTAAGGTCAACCACTTCTGACAGACCTCCACCTCTATGCTGTCTCGGTACCTGGACACACGGCCGTCTGAGCCAAGGAAGCCTGGGCCTAAGGAGGTCTGGATGTGACAGGGGCCACTGTGACAATGGCTCTGATGACTAGACAAGTGAGATACCCCAGTGCAAAACTTTGAGTGCACAGCAACCTGTTGTTTGACAGCTGCACCAAGCCCACGTGGTCATTCAACAAACACACGTGGGCACTTGCTGTAGGCCAGGCACTGTATGAAGATGCTTCTCCTTCACCAGTCTCGTACTGACACGGGGAAACGAGCCACCACAACAGACTTAACAGTATACACCTGTATCTAGCACGCATGAGGTTGTTATTCCCTCTGGCTTTTTCAGATCATGTACATACTATGTTTGGAACCCAAATCTAAACTTAATAGTTAGTTGTAGATTTTTTTTTATAGCCAGGCCTTTAATCTCAGTGTTCTGAAGGCAAGTGGATCTCTGAGTTTGAGGCCAACCTGGTCTACAGAGGGAATTCCAGCCAGGGCTACACAGAGAAACCCTGTCTTGAAAAAAATATATGTACATACATATACATATATTATTTGATGGGCATAAGTGTTTTTCTACATGTATGTATGTATGTGTGTGTGTGTGTGTATATATATATATATATATATATATATATGTATGTATGTATGTATATATGTCCCACAGGCATGCCTGGTGCACAAGGAGGCCAGATGAGGGAGCTGTATCCCATGAAATTGCAGTTACAAATAGTTGTGAGCCACCATTTCAAGAGTGCTGGGAACTGAACCAGGGTCCTCTGCAAGAGCAGCCAGTGCTTGCAAGCCCTGAGACATCATGCCAGCTCCAGGATCCTGTTTTATATGCACACTTTGTATGTGTGGCCGGAGGGTGATCTTATACCACATTCTTAAAATTTAGTGCAGGGAGTTTAATGGTGTGGAATTGCTGTTCTCTCTGTTCAAGGTTTCGGAATTTGAAGCGCTTTGGGTTTTCAGGTAGGGAGATGCTCACCCTGAATTTGACGATGTTAGGGATGACAGGGGGAAGAACCTAAGAGGCACACATGGGGCCCGGCTGATGCTCTTAGGAAATTCTCCGCAAGTGCCGTATGGAAGTAACAAGATTGAACAGGGGCCATGCTTCCCCAAATCTCTGTGAGATTTTTGTTGTTGTTGTTTTCTGTTTTTTTTTATTATTATTATTTTTCTGTTTGTGTTTCTGATTCAGTCTTACTATGTAGCCCAGGCTGGCCTCGAGCTCACGATCCTCCTGCCTTTGCCTCCTGAGGGCTGAGATTACAGACACATGCCCACCGGGCCCGACTTTATACACTGGGTTCTTGAAAACCTTCTTCAGCCTGTTGTGTGTGCCAGGCACAGAAACACACATCTTTGCACAAATATACATTACACCTATACCAGATCTACTGAATAACTTAGGTGTGCTCATCTTTACAACTTGGCAAGACATCAGCCATTTTCATGGGTCACTGGACATTCTACAACAAGACTTCTAATGGGTTTATAATCCTCCAAAGCAAAATGTTATTCAAGTGTTCAAGGCAGGCCAAGACTTTACTTAACTCCCAGGTTGTTTTCTGTTGGTTTGTATTTTAAACAGGGTTTCTCTGTGTAGCCCTGGTTGTCCTGGAACTCTGTAGGCTAAGCTGGCCTTGAACTCACAGAGAGTCACCTGCCTTTGCCTCCCAAGTTCTGGAATTAAAGATGTATGTACGCCATGATGCCCAAACTCCAGGGTTTTTTGGCTTTTTTTAAGATTCGCTTTTTTTTTTTTAACAAATATATGTATGTGTGTACATGTGTGGTTAAGTTCCATATATATATGTTCATAGGGCAGGTGCCCTCAGAGGCTAGAGCTGGTGTGTCCCCAGCAGATAGATGGGGTTACAAGTTGTTGTAAACTGTTCAGTGTTTACAACAACCAAACTCAGTCCTCTGCGGGAGTAGTACCAGATCTTAACCACTGAGCCATCCTGTTGGCCCTTAACACCCCATGGGAGAAAAAAACAGAGTTTCAGAAGTTAAGGTCATCAACTACATAGCGAGTTTGAATCTAACCTGAAATTCTGAGAGACAGACAGAGAGATTACACTTAAAATAAAAAAAAAAAAAAAATTAAGAGAAACTTCATATTCACCTCATAAAAATAAAACAGGATTGTGACAGAATTCTAAGTGTCTTCCTGGCTTCTTTATTTTTGAAACAAATCTCACTAGGTAGCCCAAGCTGGCCTAGAACTTGTGATCCTCCTGCTTCAGCCTCCTGAGTGCTGGGACATCTTGCCATGCCAGTCTTTTCTGGCCTTACTGGAAGCTGATGAAATGCAGGCCACTGGGAAGGCCTGGGCTAGCATGCCGAGTGCCCCGGGAAAAGCTGGGGCCATGATGCACGCCTGGGGAAGAGGCGGGAACAAGGCAATGGCTTCTGCCACTGGGGCTATTCCTAACTGTCGCCTGGGTATCCTCCAGGCAAGAAATTAAGAAAAATAATGTAACTATTTAAAAAGAAGGTACAAAATTCGTTTGGGAAAAAAAAATTATAAGACCCAAGAACAGCAACTGGAACATTGCTACATTAGTAAGAATTTACTAAAGTGTCCTAAAATTTACTGTATAAAAGTTGGGGGTGGGAGCTCAAGCCATGGCACAGCAGCGAAGAAACATGGCTGCTCTTGCAGAGGACTTGGTTTGATTGCCAGCACCCACGGGGTGGCTCACAGCCACTGTAACTCCAGCTCTAGACGATCGGACGGCCCCTTCTGGCCTCCATGGACAGGAGGCACCCACATGGGGGCAGACAGACGGAACACCCATGTAAGAAATAAAAATACATAAAAGTTGGGACAAAAATATTACAGGGGGTGGGGAGGGGACTCCGTGGACAAAGGGCTTCACAAGCATCAGGACTTGGGTTTGCGTCCCCAGCACCCACATGAAAGTTGGGGCTCAGGGGCCTGCCTAGAACCCCAATGCCTGGGGGAGAGGTCCAGATCACGAGATACTGGGATTCTCTGGCCTGCTACTCTGAAAGGAAAACAAAACTCCAGGTTCTATGAGAGAGTCTGCCTCACAACAATGAGGTGGATCCAGGAAGCCTAGACCAAGGGAGGGCCAGGCTGGCCAGGGCACTCGTGAACCCGCGGGTGCTGTGGCCACCTGTATAAGACCGGCACAAGATCAGCCAGTCAACACTCCTATAGAGCAGGGAGGGCTCATGAGCCCCCACCCCCCAGCTGAGAAGCTCTCGACAGCGGATGGCTGGGGGGGGGGGGGGCAGTTCTTTAAGAGTGTGGCTCCCAGGACACCCACATGACCCTGTGGGTGGCCCTACCTCCACCAAGTCTATGGGCAGCTCAGATAGGATTATAAAAATTAAAACATCAACTTGGGAAGCGGTGGGGGAGTGGGGGTAGATCTGGGAGGAGCTGGGAGGAAGAGTAAGGGGGTGAATATGATCAAAACACATCGTGTGAATATATGGGATACCCCAAGAGTTAATAGTATCATATGAATAGTATCATACACCCAGCTTTAACCTCTCGTCTCACATATGCACAGATAAGCACAGCTGCAAAAGTCCATGCACATACAAACACACAGAATAAAAACTGAACTAAAAATCACAAGTGAAAAGATAAAAACAACATTTTGGGGGAAATCAATTTGGGGGAAACACATGTGTGGGGCAGACAGGTGTGGCAGTGTGCACCTGTAATCCTAGCGGCCAGGTGATGGACCAACTACATAGACACAGTCTTAGAGGAAAATAAAAGCAAAAGCGGCTGCTGGAAATGAGCCACCGGGAAGCCCCAGGTCCAGTCTCCAGTACTGCTAAAACATAAAGTTAAGAAACTTAGGTGTGGAGGCATCCTTAAAAAGTAGAGGCAGGAGGACCAGGAGTTCAAGGCCAGACGGAGCCACATATGACCGACCTCAAAAAACCAAATCAAAGGAAACCTAAAGATCCTTAAAGTACCCAGGAAAGGAATTTATTTTGATGGCACCCCCCGCCCCCATCTGCTAACACTGGGAATAGAGCCGGTGGTCTTACACATGCTATGCCAGCACTCTCCACTGAGGTACACACTCCAGGCCCGGGGCTGCGTGCTAAGGAATATGGAGTCTTTAAAGCCTAGGTCTTTAAATAGAGCACATCACATCACGAAGCTTGTCTGACCTAACATTCCAAGGAAACGTGGGGCAGGTCTGAAATGGAACCGCCTGGATCAAGTTGGCCCAGCCACTCCTGTGGGGGCTGCGTTTCTCTCAGGCATAAATGTGGAATGGAGAAAACTGAAAGCCTGCTAACCGGTCTCACTTCTGCATGACTGACATCTGTGGACTCCCTTTTAGGCTAAAATGACATGGTTGGAAACCTCAGCTGAGCAGCGGTTGGCCATGTCCACAACATGGGATTTTTTTTTCTCTCTCTTACTCTCTTTAATGTGGAATTTGGCACATGACCTCTTTGGAGCTCTACTGGATGCCATAAAATCCCCAGGTTTCTATGACACAAGTCTCCTTTTTACATGCCTGCATTCTTGCAACTCTGGCGCTAAGCTAAACCTTAAAGAAACAAAGCCACAAACACAATTAAAGGCATCCCTCCAAACCTGCGTGCGGACTGTCCCACAGAGCAGTGGCGGTCACGCCAGGAAGTTCTCGCACCTGTGAGAGGGCAGCAGAAGGCAGCTGCCACTCGGAAAATCACTGATGACTTCCGGGTCTAAATTGCTACTATCTGCCCTTTCTCCAAATGGAGTACACACTCTCTGACAGGGATGCCGCCTGGATTTGAACAGAGCAGAGCAGAAGTTAAAACTAAACAAAACAACAATCGTGGGTGCTGGGTGTGGTGGCATATGCCTCTAGTCCCTGCCCTGGAGGCCAGCCTGGTCTACAGAATGAGTTGTTCCAGGACAGCCAGGGCTCCACAGAGAAACCCTGTCTCAGTGTAGGGGGTAGGGGAGGAGAAACAACAAAACCCTGGAGCGCCTGGAGACATGGCTCTGGTGGCTAATTGTTGCTCTTGCAGAGGACCTGGGTTCATTTCCCAGCACCCACAGGGCCGTGGCTTACAACCATCTTTAAGTTCAGTTCCAGGGATCTACCACCCTCTCCTGGCCTGTACCAGTACTGCATGTGTGTGATGCTTGTGCGCAGGCAAAACCACACACACATTAATAACAGTGATTATTATTATCATTATGAATAACAATAGTAATTAGATGTCCTGGTGAAGGCTTATTTATAATATGAGATGACAGTCTCTGTTTGAGAGACGTTTTCAAAGTATTAACCAACTGTTCTCAAAAGATACATTTTGGGGGCCCTGGAGAGGAGGTTAAAAGTACTGCTTGCTCTTCCAGAGGTCCTGAGTTCAAGTCCCAGCAACCACATGGTAGTTCACACCATTTATCATGAGATCCGGTGCTCTCTTCTGGCGTGCAGGTGTATAAACAGACAAAACATTGTATACATAATAATTTTTTTAAAAAAGATACATTTTGAAACTGGGCTTGTTGACATACTCCTGTAATCCCAGCACTCAGGGAGGCACAGGCAGGCTGATCTGTGTGAGTTTGAGGCCAGCCTGGTCTACAAAGTGAGACCAGGCCAGCCAAGGCTACACAGATAAACATTGTCTCAAGCTAACTAACTAACTAACTAACTAACACAAAAGGTACATTTTGAGCAGCTAGCGAGAACTACAAAGTTCAAAGCCCTTGCTGCTCTTACAGAGGATCTCCGTAGCTTAGCACCCACATTAGGCAACCTACAGCTGCCTGTCCGTCTGGCTCCAGGGGATCCTAACCCCTCTGGCAGGCCTCCAAGGCCAGCTCATGTATGTGATAGTTCCAGCTTGGGCTACGTAGAGAGACTGTGTCAACCAACAACAGTGAACCGGTGATGTCTAGGGTAAAGGCACTGGCTGCCAAGTCTGTCGACCTGAGTTCTATTCCTGGGACCCCAAAGACGGGAGGAACCACCCAGCTGTAGGCTGTACTCTGATCTCCACACACCCATGAGGGCTCCATGTACACACACACATAAATACAAATTTAATCTTTTTAAAAATACACAGCAAAACAGAGTACAATCTGCCTTCTGTCAGGCACACAAAAGGAGACACAAAAGGAAAGAGTCACCATGGACAGACTAAACACAGCTCATTGTAGAGCCTTTGCCTGGCATGCACAAGCTCCTGGGTTCCATTCCCGGGACGCAGGGGACAGACAAGGTGTCAGAAGCCACCAGAGATGACAGCAAGAGTTCCAGGAGAAGCGAATACGGAAAATTCTCCTAGTGCGTGGTTGAGTGAGGTCTCAGGGCCACCTAGCAGACATCGATTGGCTTCTGAATCATGACGCCTAAAGCCACTGCAATAGACATGTCCTTTCATCTCTACCCCCCGAGCCCAGTGCCCAGAGTTTGAGGTTTACCTTGAGGACGACCGAAAAGTCAACTTCTTTGGTTTCCTTCAGGCCGAGAGGAATCAGAGGAATGGCAAATGTCTCCCTGGAGAGAACACACAGGGTTCGTGAACAGCCCGCCCCACACCAGCCCCTTTGCACCCGTGGCCTCGCCTCCAACTGCCCGCCCAGGTCCCGGACCCCCATCCCAGCATCCCTCCCTTCTGTTTGAAAATGGCTCTCAGCATCCTAAGAGGCTGGACAGCACAGCCTCACTCAACAGAGCCCTACTGTGTTGCTCCACTTCATCTCTCACTTGCCCTCTACAGGCGACTGTGCAAGGGTTAACATCAGGGCTGCCCACCTGCACGAGACCCGTGCCTGGTGTTCTCACTGCTCCGTTAGCTGCATGCCTGCGTCTTTGCTATGCTGGACCTGCCTCTAGCGCCCTCCACGCCCCCAACAATGCCAATGCTAGAACTCGGGGCTCTCAAGGCTCTCCCCATGCCGAGTGTCTTATTGAACATACCCACCAAAGGCCACCGAGTCACCTGGCAGACTGACCTGCAATTGCTCCCTGAACCTACATTCCTAAGGGTAGGGCCAGAAGGAAGTGTTGTGTTTTGCAAATAGGGATTTAGCTCTTTGACCTGTAACAGGAGACCTCCATGGGCTGTTGAGCCCAGCCCACGGGGGAAGGCCAGGAATGCTGGGCAGGGTTGAGTGGACCACGGCTGAAAGCTGAAACTGCCCCTGTGGCACAATGGTGTGAAAGACAGGTGATCCCCAACCCAGGTATGTGGCCTCCCCAAAGCCTTCCCGGAAGGCTGAACTCTGGTGGAAGCAGCTAAGTCCAGGTCTTTCAAGCCCCGCACCCCCAAGTCCTCCTGTGCTCAGTGAGGCCCAATGAGAAGAGGGACCACAGGTATGCTGAAGACCCAAGACCCTAGGGTACCTCCAGACCCAGCGTGGCCACTAGCACGCCTTTCTGTGGCCTGGCCCACTCTGAGTTTTCTCATTTGCACGCTGACATCATGTGTTCTCTGCGCCCCTCACGGACTGGTTGAAAGGCCTAAGGCACTAAGAAGGGCACAACGGGAAAACATGCAAGGTGTCACCGGGAATCCTCGTGTCTTTCTCCGGTGACACAGCCGACTAACTGCTGCCGCTGTGAGGGGAGGCCACTTTGTAGGAGGAACGGCCCCTTCAGCACAGCAACGGGCGGGCAGGCTGAGCGCACACTGCCAGCGCACACTACCCTGCCTGGAACGCTTGAGCCCCTTAGCTGACCACGGGATCTAAAGCATGAGCAAGGCTGAGAGAACCTGGCGGAGAGGGTCTTAGGGGGCTGTCTGTTCTCGCTGGATTTTTGAAACTGCATCAGGGATACCCAGGTAAGCAAGACAAGCACAGGCCAAATAGCCAGCACGGCTCCAGGCACTGAATGCTGGCTCTGACCTTTGAGCAAGGCCCCAGGTGACATGCACAGGATTAGTATTAGGAAATACGCATTCCAAGGTGATGTCTCAACTTTCTAGCATCTTCCTTCTGTTACTGCAGGAAAACTGTTTCTCGTTTCCACTCAGGCTCACCTGCTTCTTGAGAAGGCATGGCTTCCCTGCGCGTAAAGCAAGCGTGGAAGCCACTTCCTTTGAAGCATTTTGGTTATTTTGTTGTGACACTCAGGAATGGGCCTTGTGCAAACTAGGTAACACCCTACCACTCACCCCTCCCCCACACCAGGTATTCTAAGAAGGTGCTCTACCACTGAGCCATGCCCCAGCCCCTTACTGGGTTATTCTAAGCAGGTGCTCTACCACTGAGCCACACCCACCCCAGGTCCTCACTGAGGGATTTTAGGCAGTGGCTCTACCACTGAACTACACAACCTGCCCATTTTGTTTTTTACTTTGGCACAGTATCTTGCTAGGTAGCCCAGGCTGGTCTCAAAGTCATAATCTTCCTGTCTCAGCTTACTGATTAGCTGAGATTACTGCCCCAAGCTACCAGACCCTTTCGGTTATTTCTTCTTATACATGAGTATTCCTCCACCCCAGCCCCAATGGTTCACCTACAGTAAACAGGAATCTCTGAGGTTTCCTGAGTGCCTATATCTCAAATAGTCCCTGAGGAACGGTTTTGAATCTCAGCATTCATTTCTCAAATACCTGACAGGGCCCGTTTCTGAAGGATCCCCATCGTACCATCTTCTATTAGAATTCAGATGGGCCCCCCATTTTTCAGGGCGTGGTATGTGCATCAAAGCAGATTATGCTTTTTGGCATTCAATCCACATTCCAGTTCTGTCCCTACAAAGCTCCCAAGTTCATCGCTTCTACCCCAGCGGTGCTGGCTGGTCCACCACCCCAGTTTGGTGCAGCAACCTGGATGCAGACACACCGTCTGGCTCAGAGAGCCTCGAGAACGCATTGCTCACTCACTCGGTGCCCTGGTACACCCCCACGGAGATGTTGAGCCCCTCTAGCTCCTCCTTCAGCATCTGCAGGTCTGAGTTGACAAAGCTCAGCTCCAGGCGAACCTGCTCCCGCACCTTCTGGTTCGTGGCAACTCTGTTGAGAGAGAGAGAGAGAGAGAGACTTTCATCCAGTGTCCTTGCTGAGCCACCCTTATAAGGACTCTCAGGGGATGGCTATCAGATGAGCAACCTCAGAGACCCTGGGTACCGGCACTATCCTGACCACACCAGCCAGCAAACAGACCTGGGATGTGGCCGGCAACACGGCAAGCTGCTGAACAAGGTAAGGGCTGGACCCAGGCATGCTGGCATCCCGAGAGATCCATGAGAGAAATTATCCTTGAGAAGACCCAGACCAAGAGGCAAATAATCTTCTCTCCGTCATCCACTAACCGGTCATAAATTATCTCCCTAACACTTGGGAGGCAGAGACAGGAGGACTAAGGGTTTCAGGCCCACCTGGGCAACCGAGTGTGGCTGACTCACCAAAAACCAAATCGAAACAAAGCTTAGACCATGAATAAGATCACGCACAAGGCTGGCGAGATGGTTCAGTGGTTAAGAGCCCGTACCCCTCTTTGCAGGGGACCCAAAGTTGGATTCCCAGCACTCACCTCAGGTGGCCATCCCAGTTGTCTGTCACAAAGAGCAACTATCTATAAAAGCTGATCGCTAACATATTTACTGGTGAAAGACTGTTTGCTTTCCTCTTTTGAACAAAGCAAATAAAGCCACTCTGAAGTTTTTTGTTTTTCTCTTCCTTGTTTCAGTGCTAGGGATGGACGCAGAGCTTTGTACATGCTGGACAAGTTTTGTATCAACCGTCCCTCCATCCCTCCATCCCTCCCTTCTTTCCTTCCTTACTCCCAAGTGTTGAGTCGACAGGCTGAGCCATCAAGTCCAGCGTACTTAACAACCCCAGTAGCATAATGCACTGAACAGAGAGGAAAGCGGGGGAGATAAAAAGGAGCAGGAGGACAGAGAAAGAGGCAAGAAATTGTTCCTAAGTGGGGGGGAGGGGGGCACTTTTCTGGAATCCCAGCACTGGAGAAGGCACAGGCAGGTGGAACTCTGTGATTTCTGGTCTACAAAGTGAGTCCACAGCAGCCAAGGCTATAGAGAAACCTTGTCTCGAAAAAGAAAAGAAACGATTCCTAAAATTTATTTGGAGATGCAAAGAACCAAAAAGAGCCAAAATGATTATGAGAAAGAAAAGTGAAGTTGGTGGACATGCACTGACTAAGAAAGTCACCAGTCAGTGGGCAGTGCTGGTGCTGCCTTTAATCCCAGCACTCGGGAGGCACAGGCCAAGTGGATCTCCTGAGTTGGAGGCCAGCCTGGTCTACAAAGCAAGCTCAGGATAGCCAGGGCTACAAAAAGAAACCCTGTCTCAGGAAAAGAAAAAGAAAAGAAAAAAAAAAAAAAAAAAAAAAAAGGTGACTACAAAGCCAAAACTGGCACAACATGGTACTGATTAGAACAGAGACTAAAATGGAACAGGCACTGCAGAGATTTATCTGTGCATTTACGGTCAATTGATTTTGATGAAAATGCCGAGATAGCTGGGACAGCAGTAGAGAGAAGCATTTAGTAAATGATGGTGAAGCAATTAAGACTCCCATCAGATGCTGGCGGCCAGGAGGGTTCTGGGCTTTGTTTTCAGGACTCTTTTGACCTTCGGGGACAAAGATGACTCAGAAATCAACCTGAAGTTTGAGCTGTCCCTAGAACAGGGGGGATTTTTCATCGACTCATTGGTGGAAGAAGCATTCTCAAATATGGTGAACCTAGGCAAGATGGTGGATATTCCCAGCTATCTCTGGGCCAGGCTGGAGATGGACAAATCTAGACCCATCGGGCCCAGGTCAGGGAGCAAGGGCGGAGGTTTGAGTTTGTCAGCTCCTTTGCTGTGTACCCAGGCTGCTTTTCTGAATGAAAACAAATGGCTTCAGTAGACCTTCTCTGAGGAACTTGGCCTTTCTACAGCAGCGCTCCAATGTGCGTCTCCCTGAGGCTACTGTGGCCTAGCAACTGAACTACGTCTGAGAAGCAGCAGGCAAAGAGTGTTTTGGCCCTTTCTTGGCCAGAAAAGGTACACCACCACCACCAGGACTCCCTGTGACCTGTGTCACAAGGGTAGGAATCAGCTCTCTGACTTCATCAGCATTAACCCACCAATAGACTCATAATGTGATGGGATTCTGGGGCTGTAGAGGAATATCAATTCAGAACATGGCTGCTCTGGCAAGAGATCACATCCAAAGACCTTCTAGGTCTCTGTGTGATCTAGCTGGAATACAGACACGTCCTTTAATCCCAGGAGACAGAGGCAAGCAGAACTCTGAGTTCAAAGCCAGCCTGGTGTAGAGCAAGTTTCAAGTACAGGAATGGTGGTATATACTTTAATCACACAGAGCATGACAGAGACATGCCGGTCTCTGAGTTCTTGTCAGTTCTGTACAGGCAGTTCAGTAAGTTGAGAGGCAGGGCAGTGAAGCTAAGTTCATGACAGTTCAGTTTGTGGAATTCAGAAGCACAAAAGAGTTTTACAGAGAGAGATTGAAGACAGAATAAGCTAAACACAGGTGAAGATAGAACAAGCCAGAGGATGAGAAGGAGCCAGAAGATTAGAACAGATTGCTAGAGTTAGTTTGAGGCCAAGCAGAGCAATTCAGTTAGAAACCAAGAGAAGCCAGAGTGAATCAGTCAGCTTGGAGAGGAGTCTGAGCCAGACCAGCTGAGTTAAACTAGCCAGCCAGAGTTCAGAAAGAACTAGTAAGGGTGAGCTCACTCAGCAATAAGTCTTAGAGGCTGAAAGCATTCTGGGCCTAGGTTATATTCTTATGGAAGTTAGAATCTTCCAGGACTAGGTCTCGGTTGCTAGGCGGAGGCAGTAGGCCTTCAAGATGACAATTAAATCAGGTGAATAAAAGGTACTGTAAAGTGGAGCAGTGGTGGCAACATTAATGCTTTTGAAAGATGCTATCCTGTCCCCGCCTCTGTCCTGTCAATCACACTCTATGGCCCAGCTGCCATAGAGGCACAGGCACCTGACCCAGGCTAATTCTTCCTTTCCTTTGGCCCTGAATTACACATCCAGCTGACCTCAGACTGAAATTCCAACAAGCTAGCAAAATCCAGCCTCTTTCCATGTTGTTTTGTTTTTGTTTTTTTCAAGACAGGGTTTCTCTGTGTAGCCCTGGCCATCCAGGAACTCCCTCTGTAGACCAGGCTGGCCTCAAACTCAGATCCACCTGCCTCTGTCTCTCGAGCACTGGGATTAAAGGCGTGTGCCACTATCACCAGCGAAATCCAGCCTCTTTGAACTAGTTTTTTTGTTGTTGTTATGGTTGTTATTTTTTGTTTTTTGTTTTCAGGTATCTATCACAGCAATGTTAAAATTAAATGGTAATTTCACATTCTGATCCACGTGCCCCTATTCCTATTCCTGTGTAGTACACAGCACTCTATGATTGAACATTAGCTCTTTATTTCTGGTTTAGGGTGGTTTCATTTTCTTCTAAACCTTTTCTTAAAACTGTCCCTCTGAGAACAGACTCCACACTGACTCCAAGTCTCTCGAGTGCATCAGAGGCCATGTTGGGAAAACTTAACCACTACCCCCACAACTGTTCCCACATCCCAGCTCTGCCAAGGGTTCAAATGTATATGTGTGTGGGAGGTGTTCGCCTCACTGTGCCCTATACAGACCCTTGGCCAAGGCATCGAGATCCGTCCCCAGTGCGGGAAGAAGGCAGGTACAGGTTCAGGCATCAGTTGAAGACCAAGGACACTCGGGAATCCACTGCATAGCCATGCTCAAGACCCCCGGAGCTGGCCACGACAGTAGTCATTAACTCACTACAGCCAAGGACCCAGATGGCTGACCCTCGGCCTAGCCGTCACAAAGTGACTTGTTCGCTTGGCTGTCGGTGTGCTGCTTTTTTTACCCCTTAACTGGTTGCCAATATTTAAAAGTTCAGCGATCCTAAGATTTTAAAACCCTAGCATGATGGCCCAGGCATAAAACCCCGAATCTGGAGAGGCAGAGGCAAGAGAATCTTGAGTTCCAGGCCAGTCAAGGATACAAGGTGAGACTCTTTTCCTTGAGGAAACAAAGACAAAAAACAGGACTGAGCTGGCAAGAGTGTTTGCCCATCCATTAAACCTGGGTGTGGCAGGGAACACCTGTAACCCCAGTACCCGGGAGGCAGAGTCAGGAGGACCCTCACAACGTCAAGGCCCAGCCTGGGCTACCCAGTGATTTTCAGGCCAGCCAAGGCTACACAGTGAGACCTTATATTAAAAAAAGGAGAAAGGAGAAAGGAGAAAAAAAGAAAAAAGAATGCCTGCGGGCTGTAATAGTGCTAAGGAGACTGAGACAGGAAAGTCTCCCAAGTCCCAGGCCAGCCTGGGCTATATGCTGCTTACTCCCAGCATTCCCCACAGCGCCCATCATGGAGCACCGCCCCCTGCCGCAGCCCATTCACTCACCAGCTTGTACAGGACACACAGAAACCTCAGAGTGAGGCGGCACTGCCGATTGAGCCTAACTAGCAGTGTAAGAAGGCAACCTGAAGGTCTAACCAGAACGTTTCAACAGCCTATTCTTTAACTAAAAAAACTAGTTAGTGAAAACTGAACAACCTGGTAACTTGCTTTCATCTGTCTCGGAAATACAATCTGGTTTCTGCCTCACCTTTCTCCAGGGAGGGAAAGAAAACGGGAGGGCAGGACACTGCCAGCGCCCAGGCGGGAGCAGCGCTTCAAAGTACCCGCTATCTCCCAGCAAGCTCCAGGAAGCGCACCGATTCTTGGCTGATGTGGAGCAGGCAAGGGGAGGACCTTCAAGGGACATGAAACCGCTCCAAGCACAGCCTCGGCCAAGTCTGTGCAGCGAACGGCTGGGACCCTCATTTCCAAGCCCGAGTTTCTGTGTACGTTTCCCCAAATGCCCGCTTGCCCGTGTCGTAACTGTTCTAGCCTCATCTCGGGATCTCGGCGGGACATCTGGCAATCTGAGGGCAGGACGGCCATGCCCAAAGTATGACAGTAATTACCTGTTACAGTAGCGGCAGCCGGGGACACCGTGGGCCCAGAGCGAGGCTTGGCCCGATGCCCTCGATTTCAGGAAGCTTTGCTGTCAGTCGGGTCTGATTAATAAATACCTTGTGCTTCCTCTGACAACAGTCTCTAAACCGGGTGCTTTAAACTTATCCGTCTCTAGGAGAATCATTTACCGCCCTGTCCTACCAGCTGCCACCCTCCACCAACCGGCCAAGTCACTGCTAAACTGACCGTAAGTTTGATTGCGTCTGGCCTGGGCCTCAGAGAACCTGTAGCTGGTGCTGTTAAGCAGCCCTCCTCTCTGCCGTGAGAACTCCCCAACACGGCTGGCCAGGTGCTCAGCAGGGAAAGGCGCTTGCTGCCAAGCTTGACAGTTCAACCTCCAGGATTTCACATGGTAGAAGGGGGGGAACTGTCTCCGAAAAGTTATGCTCTGCGCATGGACACACCCATGCGTGCAGGCACACATGCATGCGCACACACAAGCACAAAGCGGTAAAAAGCAGGAGAGTCAGGAGTTCAAGGTCATCCTTGACTACCTAGCAGGCTTTAGGTCAGCCTGGGCTGGATAAGACCCCCGCCTCATAAAACCAAAGGACTACCCTGTAAGGTCCTAAAGCGGGGAGGGAGCTGCGGGTGGGAGCTGGGGAGATGGCGTGGCTTGCGACACGATCCTAAAGGCTTGGGTTCACCAGAAATGAGACCCCGCCTCAACAAGATGGAAGGCGAGAGCCACCAGCCACAGGCTGTCTGCTGAGGGAAGAGACTGCACCGGTAGCAGCTGGAACACTGCACTTAAGGGTGTGGGGAGGGTTGGCGGCTGTCTAGACACCTGCACAGCTTCACCGAGCTCTGCCTTGGTAAGTAACTATTTTATCCCCACAGCAGGGCAGTGAGAACACAATACAACAGCTCTGCCTCTCTCATTAACTCTCGTTTTTTTTTTCTTTCTTCCCTAGACAGGGTTTTGCTGCTTTGCCTAGGTGTCTCAGACTCCAGGGTTCAAGCAATCCTCCTGCCTCAGCCCTTCAGGTAGCTGGAACCACAGGTACGTGCCAGTGAGTCCTGTTTATGACTTCTCTCATTAGAAAGGTAGACGCTAGGGATTTAAATGCCCCGTTCTTTCCTTTTGGCCCTTCCCGCCCTCATCCAGGCCACATACGCATTCACCAGGCACTGACTCTCCCTGCCAGGCACAACTCTGGGCAGCAGAGAAGGGAGTCGTGCCCAGAAGCAAATGCTAAGACAGTAACTGGACTTCCGAACAACGTGGCTACCACTGGGGGCTGGACATGTGCTTAGCAGCTGAGAGCACTGGCTGCTCTTGCAGAGGACCCAAGCAAGATCCCAGGTGAGGGTGTGGGCTCCGCCTGTCCATCAAACAGACAGGCCCTCAGGAGAGCCAGGACTCCTGGCCGAGGCAACAAGGACAGAGGTACCCACTTGAGAAGGTTTTCGGCTCCTGTCCGCATCCGCACAGCCTTGAGGATCTGCTGGTTCAAGGCAGCCCTTTGATTCTGCAACTTGCTCCGGCCAGTTTGTGCAAGAGGATTACAACCCTGAGTGGAAAAGAAGAGACATCCCTTCAGAGATCAGTTACACCAAAAATGATGACATTCTGTAGAACAGGGGAAAATATGCTTAACCAACCCATAAAATCTCACCAGCATGACTGCCCAAACATGAGCTGCACAAGGACATCAATGGACAGGCCAAAGTGGACAGGGGAAAGCCTGGGAGGTCTCAACCCCACGCAAAGATGTAATGGAAGTTTTGGGTTCTTTGTAAACTCTGTTATGTTATGTAAATATGTTTTTGTTTCAATCCCAAGTGAGGCATTTTAGTTGGGGCTTTAGTTTGTCCAAAGCTGATAACTGCCTCCTGTGGGGCGTGGTCTTTGCCAGCTGGTAATTGTTTGGCATGGAGAGGGGTGTGGTCTAGGGCTCTGAGGATACACATGTTAAGAGCCCAGAAAGAGAAGGTGTGGCATTCGGCAGGTGCTTTTAGCTCCCTGGCTAGTGTCCGGGAGCCCAGCTCTTAGAGGGACTGGTGAGGTTGGTGCTCTGTGCTCAGGCGGAGAGGGTATGTATGTACATATATATATATATATAAAATTATATGAAATGGTATAAACATATATTATATGTTATAATAATATATAATGCTACGCATTATATAATACTATATATATATATATATACACACACACCAGTAACATATGAACTGAAGAGGTTATATTTTGGAATATATATGTGTGTACATATACATACATGCTTGCAATAACAATTAGTAGAAAAGTAGCCAGGAATTTGAAGGAGAGTGGAGGGAGCATATAGGACATTTTGGAAGAAAGAAAGGGAAGGGAGAAATGTGGCAGTTGTAATCTCAAAAACTGTTTTTTTTTTTTTTTTAATGACAGTGTAGAAAATAAGAGAACTCATAAAATATAAACATAAAAATCAAAATAACACAGCCCCCAGACAGACACTGGGAGTTGGTGTCTTCTGCCCCAGTCTCTTCTCTGCCACCATGACAGTGGCACAAACCACCTTCTTCCCCAGTATTAAAATGCACCAACATAACGAGGCACAGTGGCACACGCCTGTAATCTCAGCACTCGGGGAGGCAAAGGCAGGTAGATGTCTGTGAGTTCGAGGCCAGCCTGGTCTACAAAGTCCAGGACAGCCAGGGCTACACAGAAAAACCCTGTTCTGAAAAAAACGGAAAAGGAAAAAAAAAAGCACCAACTTTGGTTGGCTGGTTTGTAGATGTGTTTTTGTAGCATCTCTGCTCAAACCAACACCCCGAGAGCTCATTCCAAAGATCCCCACTGTCCAGCACAGACCACATCTCCAGAATCCAGGACGGAGAAGGCAGTGATGGTAAACCAGTTGGAGCACAGCGCACAAACCTCACCAGTCCTTCTAAGAGCTGGGCTACGGGACCCCAGCCAGGGCCAGTCCAGCCCACTGCGAGCCACTCTAAAAACAGCCTGTGGCACTCACAGCTGCACTTTCTCACTGTCCTCTCAGGGATTTCCCCTTCGGGGCAGGAGAGATGGAGGTTAAAAGCTTGCGCTGCTGCTGCTACTACGGGGGGCCTGAGTTCAAGTCCCAGCACCCCCACATGGCACAACTTCCCAGCCACCTCTCAACTCCAGCTCCAGGGGATTCAACGTCCTCATCTGGCTTTGACAGACACCTGTCCTCATGTGCACATACCGCCACATATGGGCACACCTGTACACAGACTTTAAAATAATTTAAAAAAAAAATAAGTAAATAAAAACCCCCCTTAGGGGCTGGAGAGATGGCTCAGAGGTGAAGAGCACTGGGCTGTTCTTCCAAACGTCCCAAGTTCAATTCCTAGCAACCACATGGTGGCTCAAAACCATCTACAGTGAGATCTGGTGCCCTCTTCTGGCATGTTGGCACACATTCAGGAAGAATGATGTATAAATAATAAATAAATAAACAAATCTTTTTAAAAAATCCCCCTTAGAATACAGTGTTTTTACAGGGAGGTGGCGGCGTGCTCCTGTAATCCCAGCACTCATGGAGGCAGGAGGATCTCTGTGAGTTCGAGGCCAGCCCCAGCTACAGAGCAAGACCCTCTCTCAAGCAAACAAACAAATAGAAAATGAAGGCAAAGACGCCAGTGAGCTGGCTCACTGGATAAAGCCACCTCTTGCCCAGCCTAAGGACCCGAGTTCAAACTCTCTGACCCACGTGATGGAAGGCGAGTACCAGCCTCTGCCAGTTGAGCTCTGACCTCCACGGCCACACCATGGCACACACACGACACCATAATAATAACCACACCACCTCTGATCTCCACAGGCACACCATAGCTCGCACACAACACCAAAATAACAACAACAAATGTTCAAAAAAAAATGTTCAAATGTACAAAAATCCAAAACAAGATTGCCTATTTTTATAAAAGACTTATAACTTCCCTATAGTTGGATTATCAGATTATTTCTTAGTCTCTAATTTAAAAAAAAAAAAAATGGGTTGAGCCAGGCATGGCGGTGCATGCCATTAACCCCAGCGCTCCAGGCAGGGCAGGCAGATTCCCTGTGATTTGGAAGACAAGCTGGTCTATAGAATGAGACCCTGTCTCAAAAACAACAACAACAAAATCACTTAACATTGCTGGAAATCCAAGCTAGGCAGGATCTGTGTGTGTGCAAGGCAGGTGCCCTACTAAAAAGGTACAAAGCCAAGTCTGTGTTTTCATCTGGTACACACATAGGAACGTATGTTTTTACAAGTCTTGAGTGTTTTCTCTAAGATGTATGTCTAGGGCAGTCAGTCTAGACCCTCGTTAATGCTACCCCAGAGCCAGCCAACTACCCCCCAGTGTGTGAAGAGCGCACAGATTTACCCTTGCGGACACCCTTCTGCTCACTGTCGCTGGACTAAGTCTCCGTTTCCCTTTCCTTTCTTTATGGAGAAACACACACTGTAGCACTCACCCATTTAGGAGAAAGAAAGAGATGGGACGTTGGAATGGACTATCAGAGGGGAGCCTGTCGTTTGCCGCAGGACAAACACGACAAACACGACAAACACACGAAGAGAAGCACCGCAAGAACTCAGGTATACGGAGAACCCCAGCGCCACACACAGAGATAAGTGAAGTCAACCGTGGCGGAGCCGGAAACTTGGAGAGTGCTCAGTCGTGTATCAAGAGTAAAAATATGCCAGTGTGCAGGGCAGAATTCAGGAGGCAGAGGCAGGAGGATCTCTTGCCTTTGAGGACAGTCTACATAGTGAGTTCCAGGACAGCTGGAGCTACAATGTGAGACCCTGTCTTGAAAAAGCCAAAAAATATAACACAGAGACAGGGAAGATTGACACTGTATCTGAGATTCCCGAGAAATGAGATTTTAGTTGCTCTTAACCACACCCCCACACACACACACACAACAACAAGACAAAACCCAGTAACTGTGCACAGTTACATTTGTGTAAATATTTCCCTATCTGATGGTATCCAGTCACTGAGCTGAAAGTCACACTGTCATTGTTTTTGAAGTCTACAGTTGACCTTTTGACCAGTCATGGCTGAACACGCCTGTAATCTCAGCACAGCTGAGGCAGGAGGGTCAAGAGTTCCAGAACCTGGTGTCAGTGAAAACCTGTGGCAAAACAGAAAAAAACAAACAAACAAACAAACAAACAAAAAAACGTCACCACCTAACCATTTAAAACACCCAGGACCTGGAGTCAGCCCTCAGAAGGGAACACATGCTCAGCTGGTTCAGTCCCCAGCTGAGTAAATAAAAGAGCAGTCAGTGTTTTTCATTTGCTTTTTAAACATCTTCCCGACTACACACGGCCGTCACATATTTCTGATTTTGGAGCATTTTAGCATCCCCAAAAGAAACTGAGCATCCATTAGCACCCATTCCTCATCCCCAAGCTTTGCTAGCTGTCTTTGGTCTGTACAGACTTGCTCACTGTGGATATTTCGAATAAATGGGACTATTCGGTATGGGGGGGAGGGGGGCGCGCTCACCCATGTGTACATGCCGGAATTAGTCCTTCAAGCACTTTGCAAACTAGCTTTCTCTTCTCCTTCCCCCACCACATCCTTGTTTCATCGTTGTTTGAAAAGGTATTAATTAACGCGTTAATCTGTGGTCCCCCTGCCTCAGCTCCCTATGTTTTGGATTTACAGACCAGGGCCCCACACCTGCCTGGCATATTGTTTTCAGAGTTCACCCAGATCACAGCCTGAACCAATTTACTCTTTCATCCTTACATAAGCACACAACATTTGTTCTGTTTAACCATTCACCAGTCGCTGGACTCTGTGTGTGTGTGTGTGTGTGTGTGTGTGTGTGTGTACTGGGCTGTGATGGCTCACACCTTTAATCCCAGCATTCAGGAGGCTGAGGCAGTCCAATCTCTAACCTAATGTACAGAGTGAGTTTCAGGACAGCCAGGGCTACACAGAGAAAGACTGTCTCGAAAAAGAAACGACAACAAAGCCCCTAAAATAACATTTTCTATTTAAGTTGTTCTTTAAATAGCCATTGCTGATTTTTTTATATCTACCTAGGGGTTATGTGGTTAACACTATGTCAACCGTGTGAGAAACTATCAGATAATTTGTCAAAGCCATTACACTATTTTATATTCCCATTAGCACGTATTCTACAACCAAGACACGGCCCAGCCCTTCTCTGGTAAATCAAGTACCAAATTGCAGCCCCGGACCTACTGTGGTGGTGTTTGTTTGTTTGTTTGTTTGGCAGCCATCTGTCTTAGGTTTCTCTTGCTGTGATAAAACACCATGCCCAAAAGCCAACTTGGGAAAAAAAAAAGTTTTATTTCATCCTGTAACTCTCTGGTCACAATCCATCATCACTCTCCTAGTCATGGTGGGAACTAGAGCGGAAGCCGGCCTGCATCCTTGTCAATCATTAATCAAGCAACACCCCGCTGACTGGCCTTCAAGTCAGTCTGATGGTGGCATTTTCTGTTCCCAGATACGTCTAGGTTTGTGCCAAACTGACATCAAACTAGCCAGCATACCATCCTGGTGT